GACTCGCTATTGTCTAGGTTACAATCACATGCCTATATATTATTCACAACAAATTACCATTGTGTTAATGGCTGTGACGAGGTATAAAGTTATTCAGATATCTTTAGCAGACCTTTATGGTCATAGACATATTAGAGACTTCAATTTAACTATATTCTATTTTATTCCCCACATGAGTAGTTTTCGATTGCCTTCTAGTGAATGAATGAAAGTTTATTCGTGACGGGCACAAGCCCTGCACTCAAGGAGCATGACATGGAGATGACTAGCTTCTCTAACGACTTTATACGACGATTACTCAGTTGGATATTTGGACTACTCGTGTAGTGGGTGCATTCGCTGATACCACTCGAGACCTTAGTGCTAGGGACTTTCCCCCTCCCTCAACCGTTAATATCCACCAATGGGAAAACAGAAAGAACCTCTGGCTACCCTAACATGCCTTTGCCATCTTGTGTATACCCGCCGCGCGAGATATGGCCTCACAGTCCTCCCTTTCTCGAGCGAGGTAGGTGTCCAGGCTACCCAGACTTTAATTCGGGGAGATGACGACCAGGAGACGGACCAAAACACCTTTTATCGTTGTTTGTTTTTAGAGTGTCGATTGCACTATCCAAAATCGTTGCCTCTGCGCTCACAGACCTCTTGAGTCGAAAACGATTGAAAAAAAAGCTTGTCATAGCTCTATAGCTGAATAAAATATGAATTAAAAAAAATTGAAAAATGTGCGTCACAGCATGACCATTTGTGACCTCTTGACTCGTTCGTCCCACGTCCCAGCTTCCTATCCTCCATCAAATTGTGAGGTCCCATTAGAGCAACGGTCCCCCATGGACCAAGACCCGAGATTTGCAGATTATGACTTAGTTTTCTCTTCCCGGGTATACATAGCATCGTAATTTTGTGGTGGGAGATGGCCGGTTTTTGATGAGGCAAATGCCCGATTGCAATTGGAGTTACGCCATTACCGGCATTTGGGACAAGGTGTTGTAGTAGGATTGGGGTGAAGTACTCGCGTGAGAATGATAGATCCGATATTGACGAGAAGTCGTCGATTTTTGATATGGTTGAGGTTGCTTTCTACTTCGGTTCGAATGCGTTTCTTCTTGGCTATCCCAGATATACAGAGCATACTGAGCGATTACACCGGCACCGCTGGAAGGCGAAGAATTCATCTTTGCCGGCCGATGGCCTTCTAACGTTCTTTAATTCTTAAATTAATGCAACGATGGCGGGAGAGGAGAAAAGGAAATTTTCGAATTTCAAAAAAATGTCTGAATATGCATGTATAATTTTTGGTATAAATATCATACGCCTTCCCGGATGATGCTAATCATAGATTAGTCTTCACTCATCGCGAGTTTTTCTAACTTTTGTAGAATAGAAGAATAGACAAGATCCACCAACACAAGCGCAGAAACGTGGCAAACAGTTTTACGTTCCTCGCTCCATGCATCAGTATTCCAATAATGATTTATCGTATAATGTGTCCCGGGCCATCACTAGGTGGAGATATACGACGTATGAAGGGTCTTCAGAGCATATGATCCTCCAGGTTACAGCAGTGCCCAACCAGTTTCCGGCCTTTCTCAATACCTGCATTTGAGCCAGCAAGTTACATCGGGCTGGATGAGTAGGCATATTAGCCATGACCTCAAGGTCATGGGCCGAGGGGAAAATTGATGAGAAATACTGAGAGAGAAGCCTCATCGGGAAAACCTGGCCTATTCCTACAGTACCAATTTTCGAGGAGAAGCTGAAGTTACATCTAGAATAACCTACGTTCAAGTTAAAACTACCGCCCCTAGAAGGCTCAACCGGCACTTGACTAGTTATGTCAACAGGTTATTATAAGAAATATTTCCAACGCGTACGTATTTATGATCAATCGGGCCCTTCGCTCTTAATCTCTGAGACACTGGTGGAAGTTCTTCGTGAAAGAGGTGCTGCGAATGGAGGTGATGAGACGAAGCCGACTGGTTCTAGGTTGGATATCTCAGATATACAAACAGACAATGTGTTTATACCGACACCACTAGAAGGCGAAGAATTCGAATTTGCCAGCGTAGGGACGCGTGATGGATGTCAGCTACGCTGGTTAGCTGAGTGTCTTGTGTCAAAGTCACATTTTGCCAAGTTACTCATCAGCCCATGGTCTTGCGACGCCGTTTACATTTTTGTAATACACTTGACAGGATGACGCTAGATAGTAAGATCTGAGACTCTTACGAAATACAGGGTCTCAAAGGACACCATCTACTTTAATTTCAGTTACTTTACGTCGTGTTAGTGCATAACAATAGAAATTGACGGCCAAGTACCGATTGGCTTACTTTGTTTAAACTATCCAACGTGCCAATGCCACTAAAAAAGCCCAGCAAATCAAAAAAGTGAGGTCCAGTCGCTGCTCAGCGCCTTAGAGTTTTGAAAGAATTTTAAAGGATTGAATGCCTCTGACGACCTTCTAGGTAAAATTTCTCTAAACTTGAGTCCTCTATTCCCACCGCTTCAAAGGCTTCCACGGCCCCGCATTTCTTCCATCATCACTGGTAAGATTTGGTTTCTACATCGAAAGTTCATGCTCAGCAATCCAAGATCAGCGCCGTCCAAAAATTCCCCGTCAATAACAGTGTTAGAATCAAGGGTCACGGATTGTGTTGTGGCTTTTTTGGCACTAAGTGGGGACTTCAAATTTGGTTGCCGTATCGAGAGAAAGTTTGATGTTCAGCTTGAACTAATATCGGCTTGAATTGTTCTGATGATTTTATTCATGGTTTGTGCAGTAGATAAATCTCTGCAACCTGGGAGTTTCGACTAAACTAAGCCCAGCGCGGCTTCTTCTGACAAAATTGTTAGTGAAGAAAAATCGATTCGAATATTAGAGAGATGGTTAGGCCTAGACTCTGTGAAAATATTTGACTCCCAGGTTCGTAGAAGACACCGTTTAATTCGATTTTTGTTACTATGCTAATTCTGTGTGATGTGGTGTTGCCGAACAAATCCTATTATGCGCAGCTCTATATATCATGGCCAAGTATAATCAGGTGAAAGCAAGAAACTTGGCTGTAGAGGGGGTAAATTTTCAAGTTTGTCTGACGGTTAAAGAAAATTTTTTCAAGAAATATTATGCGATCTCTATTGTGAAATGTAATCTTGAAGTTGAGGCTATATGAAAACCTTCTAACAAGAATTACTTCATACGTGCACAAGAAAGTAACCATGTATCAAGACCAGGTATATGTGTACAACTTAGCTTGTAAAAAGAGCACCTCATATTTCCTTCGTAATAATTCATTACTGTAAAGCTATTATCAATGTGTTATAAGTCTCCACCAAAACGTGGGAGGGGTCCGGTATCTTAGTATTCCCACTCTTATTTTCGCAACTAACCGGAAGCGAGGTGACGCATATGTGTGCCTTCCTATCAATCTCAGGGTTTTCATGAAGAGATATAAACTGATACAGTGCTGTCGATCCATACGGTAGTTTATTTGAGCTGCTCATTCACAAAGGAAGCTTTTTTCGGAATAATCTGAAAAAAAGACAGTTGCTTGCCTGGTTCAGGTACAAAATTTTGAATAGGACTGATAACACCCGTGGACTAAGTTGTTATCAGAATTTAGTGATTCTTTTCATTCAAAGAAGACACCCTCAGTGTCGAAAAATCACAAAAGAATACTGTGAAATGCTGACGAAAAAAATTACCCTGTGTACATAGCAGAAGATATTCCCTGCTTCGATTATCTTCACGTGGCCTAGCCCCTACCCTTGGTGAATTTGGGTCGAGAGCCGCTTAGTTGAATCATGATATACCTCAGATCTCTAATCATGAGTTGCTATTTACTGCTCATTCCATTGTAGTAACTACTCAGAACAAACCAACTCCATCATTAGTTCGAGTCTACGATTCGGATAAGATTTTCAAATTTTGGAGGAATTGAAGAGGTGCCAGCCACGAACTGGAGTAAGCTATCACCTCTAGATGCCAAAAATTTGGATTACCATAGTGAACTTAACAATGTATAGTTTACACCTGGGAATGAACTGAAAGCTTTATCGTTTTGAGTGCGGCCGTCAGGGAGCCTGCCATTGATAGGAAGCTCGTGATGGAAAACGATAAGTGAGAAGTTTATTTGAGGAATAGATCATTTCCTGGTAAATATAATGTGCAATATTGAATAACGGATCATGCGAGTAGCTTGTCTACGAGCCATACCCTAGCAGGGCAGTACACGTCACCCAGTATTCACCGAGTAATATAATCAGCGAGCTGTAAAGGCGATCTGCCAAATGAATGAGTCATGCTTCCATGTCCCAACTCATTAAAAAGGTACTCTTCAGTCATATGAGACTGAGATAAGTTTGGGATATAGTAGATAAGTGGACCGCAGTTTGATGAGCTGGGACTTCTATCAGACATATGAGACTGAGATAAGTTTGGGATATAGTAGATAAGTGGACCGCAGTTTGATGAGCTGGGACTTCTATCAGACCTAACTTATATCACCACTATGGTATATCAATTCAATACTGGTTCATCTACACCTTAAATTTGCTGTGAAATATCTCTTACAGAGTTATACAAATGATTTGAGTACGCATATTTTAGTGAAATTCCATCATCTCCTGTTGTTCAAGCCTATGGTGCTATGGGCCATAATTTTAGTATGGTATCCAGTGGTTATTTTGCACTGTGCAGTCCTAATTACAAGATCCCATTTCTAACTCTGGTTTGGTGGCGAATGACACTAATTGCTTTCGTTGCTGGGAGTGTGAATTCAACTAAAGCCTTAGCTGGGACAGCACTATTGTTAAAGTCTTTTTACATGTCGTGGCCTAATTCTTATGCTATATAGCTGCCAAGTTCCTTGTTTCTAGGCATTCATCCGTAGAATTAGCGATTACACCCGTCGATATTTTGTCTTTGGGTCATCGGTAGCTCGAATTTCCTTTTTAGTGAGGTAATCAGTAATCAAAAGATTCCACCAGCTCAACCTTCATTAACGGAGAAAGTCTGTACGTACACGTTCCTGGCGATGTTTTCCATGCGAATCTCGACGCGATGGCTCATTATTAAAATCAACTCGATGTTTGGCTAAAATAGCTCTGTGGCTAGCTCCGGATGGGTTACTTGTGTAAATACGCGATCTCGAGGGACTCGAGCATCTTGGTGGTGCCATTCCAAAGATGGCATCTACATCTGGATCAAAGTCGTCAGGTAGAGGCAGGGTTGGTCGGGTTGGAGCATTCTGATCAATAAAAATTTTGTAAGCTTGATGGATTGGCCTGGATACATTGTTACTGCTGGCCCAATCCTCAAAGAAGGCCCGAAGTTGAGCCAGCTCCCGCCATACGTTTGCACTAAAGACACTCTTAGGATCACGCAAATCAAACCAAATGAGCGTGAATCCGAGGTGAGGGAAGCGATCATACTGAATAGTAATAGCTGGAAAAAATGCCGAAAGCTGTCGTAGGTACCGATGTGCTGGGCCCGAGAGGGATGTGTAGCTATTTTCACGATAGGAACGAAGGGCAAGCCATGGCTCTCCAGTACTCGGATTCCAGCCAAACTGAGGTTCGTAGTTTGCTGGCTTGTTCTTCCCGAGAGCCCAGATCTCTTCGAGCTGACGCCGCATGGATTTAGCCGCTCCTCGGTCAACGAATCTGGTAGTTTTTGATTCTTCCACACACTCAAGAGCTGGAGATGATGAATTTGGCTTGGATATATTTCGCCCAGGCATAAGTTCAGATTCGTAGCGCGTGTTTGCATGGGAGGCGTTGGAAACCATAGCCTGGGATGGGATATAATGCGCATAAGTGTTGCTAGGTTTTATGCCTGGGAACCTGGAGTCTTTTCCAACTAGTTTATCGTTACTTCTCCTGAATGAATGGGTAGTGACTGTAGAAAGCCAGATGTAACATACATAGATACGCCCATATATTTTCTTCAGCTAGGTATTGTTTCATGCTTCTTGATAAGGCAATCGAGTGTGGACAGTCTTCAGCTTGGTAAAAGGCATTACAAATCTGTCTGAACATAGGCTGGGAGCTATTTTGCCAGCGGGAAGATCCTTCTCGCTGGAGTTTTCGCTTTATCTCATTGATCTGGCTTTGGTATGCCATTTGAGACGATTAGTGGAGAATAGGTTAAAAAAGTTCGAGGTGAAGTCTGTTTGCTGATTTTCTTGAAAATTTGTAGTAGCGAGGTGGTTGGGTATTAGCACGGGTTAAACGACGAAATCAGTACGAGGGTGGTTAAAGCTTGAAGCAGCTAGTAGAACGATCAACAGCTCATCCAATGGCCGTCCATTTCTCCCCACCCCCACGCCCCCCCCCCCCGCTATTCCTCTGAGAGATGCGAGAGATTACAAATCTTTGTTCACATAATATCTTTGTTCACTAGTTTCTTCCACAAATAAAATCCTAATACAGTGGTTCCTACATGAGTCTTCTTCATACTCTTCACAACCCGTATCTCGAGAGTGAATTGAGACTTTAGTGTGCCACTGAAGTACTAGAGGATTGAGCATGAACGAGCCAACGCCTTCCTCGTATCCAATGGGCTGTGATTGCCCTTTTCTCGCTAGATATAAAGTAACGATCTTTCCATGTGCGCTAGAAGTGGTTATTATTTTCTTTTACTCGCCCATGATGCATCCCTACGTAGCTACCTATGTCACCAGCTACATAATCATACTAACAAGTAATTTGTTTCGATCGGTTTGCCGCCAGACCTCTAAATTGGCCATCTGAGCGTGTCTAATAGCGAAGCGCTTATATTAAAACCGAAATTATTATGGCATTAAGGCCTATCCCATTCCAAAAACGTGAATCGCCACCAGAACTCAGATGTCTCTCCACATAAGGGTACACCACCAGCGTTCTCGACACAGCATCCAAATCATTAGATTCCTCAATCTTCGCATTGTGTAGAGGATGAGTGTACGGTTTCCTACCCAAAATATCAGTTTCCTTTTTCAAATTTACATGGAGCCATTGATGAATCCTTGCAAGCGTCTCTCACACATTAGTCTTGTTCCTCTGGGTCCGAGGTCTCAAAGCCAATGACCTGGAACACCATCGCATCTTCTAAAGCTGTTCGACTTCCAAATTCAGCCCTTCTTGCAGCAGCTCTTACTCAGGCCATTGCTATAAACTTTGGTTTTATTTCCTCGAAGAGTGACCAGTACGGATCAATCTAGCCAGGTAGTCTCGACTGTCTGATCAATGTGGACCGGCATGGTTGTGTCACTTATTTAGCGCTTTGCACTCCGCAGTGGAATGCATTGTTTAGTCATGGCTTCAGCATACTGGAGTGCGAGAATAACCGCTAGTAACATGTAGACTGAGACAACATTGAGGCTGCTGGATTTCACAACTAGCTTGGAAAATTTTCTCAGCATTAACGCTGATATTCACCAAACTTCTAGGAGGTCTTGTACTATTTTATTATTATTTGCCTATATGTCAAAGCCAAATCTCACTATAAGTCTAGCTGATATCTGTTTAAGCGTGATTGAAATTCTGCACTGCTGCCTGTTGGATTTCCAATGAGAATAGCACTCGCCAGCTTTGGTTAAAACCAAGATGTAAGAACACTCGCTTAACGACTATTGGCCTCGAAATGTTCTTCCTTGGCCGGGTGACTGTAGGTTGTGTATCAGTTTCAATTATCGATACTGCGGTTCGGCGCAGCTCGCTTCGAGTCGTTTAATCCCATGTGCTGTTTGTCGGCATAGTTGGAGCGATAGAATAGCTTGTATTCTTGGGCTAAGGAGCTTTGGAGGGTTTATTCTGGCCAAGGAGTATGCATACTTGTGGCCTTTACTTATAACAAAACTTCGCAGCACACAACAGTTACAAGGAGTTGGATGTACTTTGTTATTTTATATGGTGATTATGGCTCTCAGATTTTAGATTGCTTCGGTAGGTGTTGAGCTCATTTTGAACAGGGTCGTGAGATTAGTTTCCGGAAAAGTTTCTACTAAAAAATCAAATTGATAAAAGTTTTCTATTTTTAAAAAGTAGTATCAAATAACTTTGAGTCTATCTGGGGTTCGTAAATGGAGTGCAAATGATTGAATCCGTTAAGTTGCGATATCGTGTAATCTCCTCTGATCAGGCTTTGGACTATATATGGACGTCATCCCTCACGATCGTTATTTCCACCAAAACTCTCAAGTTCAACATTCATGGTGGCCGAATCTCGACTAAAAAAATATTTCACGCCCAATTTCGTGGAAAATATCACAGACGAGTGTCCAATTTTGTCCTACAGCAATTTACAGGTTTAAAGTATCCCCCAAATAAGAAGAATCTGCGCGGTGTCCTCTACGAACCTGGGAGTAAAATATTCTCCCAGAGCCAAGTTCAGTCAAATTTCGCAATATCAAAGAAGTTGGCCCACGAGGCAATGATTCAAATTACTCCTCCACGTTGTTTTTTCCCTCCCAACGAGTTTGACTCTTACCTAAGTCTCATCAAGTCTACAAGTACGAACAAGTGCGTCCTCATCCCAATGACCACACCACTCTTCGACCTTCTCTGGCCTCAGCCGGTCGCCAAATATACGCCCACGCCGATATTTATACCCGACGGAGGAAGCAAAGCGTGGCGCACAAATCTGGGAGACAGTTCTTTGGGATGGACGTGAAAGGGATCAGGATAAGTTGAAAAGATGATGCAAAGGAAGGATGTAACTTCGAAGGGCGTGGAATTTCGAATTTTGGCAGGGAAATTCACAAATAAAACTTAGTGCGCGCCAAAACTTCGCTTGCGAGAGTGCAGTTGACACTTTAAAAACAAGCCAACGATGGAAGGTGTTGTGGTCCGCCTCCTGGTAGTGTTCTCCGGTATAGTCTGAGTAGCCTGGTGTTGGAAATATTGCGCAATGAAATGGGCGCAATATTTATGGAACGAAAGTAGAGGTTGACTAAAAGAGTGCCATGTTCGGATTGAAGCTAAAAGTGTGGGAGATGTGCGCTACAAGTACAAGTTCAAGCGACACAGAGCCTAAGCCACAGCATAAACGAGTGTGGCGCCATCTAGGCATAGAAAGCCCCCAACAACCTCCTTGTACCCACGCCATACAGCCGCTCATGTATCCAATAGGTAGCCTGAAGCGCTATCATATTACCTATTACAACCTCTTAAATACACACGAGATCGTGTCGGGAACCTAGACGATATAGAGGGCCCGTACGTCCACAACACTCTGTGTCTCCATTTCCAACACCTGGGCACCTATGCCACCTGGGAAGGAGACACCTCAGACCATATTTCGCGCGGAGAAAATTCATTGGATAATGGAGGCATTTCTAGATAACCCAGGGTTTTTGATATATTCCCCTGGGTGGGTATTCACGGATGAGGGTTGACTTGGGGTGAAGAAAAGGCCGCTATAACTTCGCAGTGGTACTTGCAGTGGTGCCGGTGTAATGGCTAAGTATGCTCTGCATATCTGGGATAGCCAAGAAGAATCACATCCAAATCGAAATCGAAGTCGAAAGCACTCACATGCACATCTAAAATCAACGACTTCTCGTCAATATCGGACCTATCATTCTCACACGAGTCCTCCACCTCAATCTTACCACACTACCTCGCCTCGAATACCGATGATGTCGTTACTCCAATTGCAATCTGGCATTGGCCTCATCAAAAACCGGCCATCTCCTGTTGGAAATTCCGACTCTCGAATTTAGGACTCAACCACTACCTGTTTCGTCTCAGGTTCCCGACAAGACCGACTCTCTCCACACATGTCACGAGTGCGCTAATCGCGCCTACTGTCGCCTATACGTTTGGATATTTACGTACTATAGTGTACCTTGGCTCATCATGGTAGATGAGAGGTGGCTGGTCATCACTAGGTTTGACAGGCACATGAGACTAGTGGGAATTTCTCCCCTAAGATGTATATATAAGTCCAATATTCCCATAGTTGTAAAATATCAAGTCTTCTTAACTTCATATTTATCCATATAATATCGTAGGGAGTATATTTTCCAACATCTCTCACTAAAAATTTACGATGCTATATATACCCGCGAGGAGGAATTTAAGTCATAATCTACAAGTCTCAGGTCTTAGTCTATGGGGGACCGTTGCTCTAACGGGGCTTCACATCTTGAGGAAGGACAGGCAGCTGGAACGTGGGATGAACGAGTGAAGAGGTCACGAATGGGCATGCTGGGATGCGCATTTTTCGAGTATTTTCGGCTTAAGGGTGTTTGTGGGCGCCGAGGCAACGATTCCGGATAGTGCAACCGACACTCTAAAAACAGGCAACGATGAAAGGTGTTTTGATCCGCCTCCTGATCGTCATCTCCCCGAATTAAAGTCTAGGCAGCCTCGACACCTACCTCACTCGAGGAAGGGAGGACTGTGAGGCCATATCTCACGCGGTGTGAGGGAAACCGAGTTGGCGATTAATAAATCGATTTAATAAACCATATGAGGAGAAAAGAGAACTCTAGCTACAACTAACAGGTATTTATAAGAGTTAATCCTCGTGAATCTATATACCAGTGACTTGTCCTTACGCACAATACTTCTTGCCCAGCCACGTATTTCCAGGTATCACTTAGTTGTAATAACGCTTCAGCCTCCCAACTAGTAGTGCCGTTTCGTTCAGCTTCACCTACCCCCCCCCCATACAGCCTCATCGTAAGAATTCTTAGTATCAGGCTTGGGTCTCCACCTAAACTCAAACAACGGTCAAACCGTAACACGCGGCGGCTACATATAAGATGGCAAAGGCATTTTAGGGTAGCCAAAGACTTTTCCTGTTTTCCCTTTGCGGGATATTAACGGTTGAGGGAAGGCTGAAAGTCCCTAGCACCAAGGTCTCGAGTGGTATCAGCGAATGCACCCACTGCACGAGTAGTCCAAATGTCAAACTGAGTTATCGTCGTATATAGTCTCTGGAGAAGCTAGTCTTCTCCGTGTCATGCTCTTTGAGTGCAGGGCTTGTGCCCGTCACGAAAAAACTTTCATTTATTCGCAGTGGTACTTGCAATTGATATCCGAGGCATGAGTACTCTCCTTGTATATTGAGTTAAAGCTAAATAGCTGCATATGCAATTAAAATCTGATGCAAAAAAAACTGAAAAAAGAAGAGTAGTCGGGTTTTCATCCATTTATCCTTCATAGTTGCATAAGCTTCCCTCTACCAAGATGTCCACGAATTAAGTAGTGGGTCAGATTTTAATAAAAGAGAATTTTACCGTGGCAGGGTGGCAAATTTTTTCAACACCTGGGCTATCATCGTATCGAACCTTGGACGAGTCCCATGTGCAATCATCGTTGGATGGCAGTTCACTGGTCCAAGCGATGTACGAAAATTTTATGGGAAACTATGAGTCAATCATTTAATGTTAATGGGAGATTCGCAAACTCCTCCCCCGGCATCTAGATACGGTTGGTTCGCATATGAAAGCCCTTGCTGCATGCCTGGGAAGTAAAATTGGAGAGAGTAGTGTGTTGTATCTTGCGGCAATTCTTCCATTGATTATTATGTTTATCGGACTGGGGCAGCAGTAGCCCTTCACTTCTTGAGCTCCATCAGACCTATCGGAACAAAACGTAAATAACCCAGTTTGATCAACATATAAATTTACATGCATTATTCACGTTAGTCTCAGTTGGACATTCCAAAGTAATTTAACAGGTAATCACCTACTTATTCCATTCTTCTCTTTTTCCCTAGTGGCTCGACACTTTTTTGACCCAAGAATCCTCTCCCACCAATCTCCACCAAACTCATGGCAGCCTCTTCTGGATTGGATTGAGGTGGAATTTCAATTAATCCACCACTTAGAAAAGAACGAGCCCATTTTATCGAGTGAAAGTTTTCCATGTTGAACATATTACGATTAGTCGCAACTCCTTTGGTTAAAAAAAATTCTTGTCTATGGTTGTTTGTAGCTGCCCTGTTCGTATTGCGTCGGAAAATTTTCTTCTCGATATAAGCAGGAATGCTAGTTATTTTAAGGAAAAAAATATATTTTGGATAATGATTATCAATGTTTCTCTCACGGAAAATTTGGTGATAACGAGGGGAAATTTCTTCCGCATTTTCTTGACTTGGAAGAGATAGGATTTGTGTCGTTTTCATCTTTCCGAGTGTCACACTGAGCATTTGGAAGTCCTTCATGGCTTTTGTAAACTCGCGAATTTTGGGTATGTTGCTTTGAATGAATTCCGATAATATGTGCCCATTGGCATTCTCGTCACCGATCGAAGTGATTGGAATCCACCATTGGTAGCCATCGGTATTGAATCCGATCTTTTTGAACAAATGTAGATTCCCTTGGAACCAGGCTACTGCTTCATCGCTTGATCTAGCACTATTCCCCGTGAGTAGATGACCTCCGGATAGAAATTTCTCCAGTTGTATGGGCGTATCAGCATCGATTTTTATAGCTTGGTCTCTCATTCGTGGTGCAAAGCATGCATATTGTCCCTCAACTCCAATCAGGCCCTTGAAGGCCAAGCTGATCAAGTGCTCGGGTTTACAGTCGTTTCCGAGGATCTGGGACATGGGCTTGGCAGGTGAGTCGGGAGATGTTCCTTTGGCGATAGACCTGGCACAGGTATCCTCAGCCGTCAGATAAGCTTTGTCTCTATCTTCGGGCTTTTGCGTCAGTTCTTGCCGTCCTTGAATGATTGTGTCTACAACCTGTCTCAAGTCTTTCACTACAGAGCAGTATGCGACAATATGAGTGCCATGTGTGGTAACTTTGCTCGGGGACATGTGTATGCCAAGTTGAGGCGGAGGCACAGGAAACTCATTGACAATTAGATTTTCGTATAGACCGTAGTATGAATATGGATCCTCCCATCCTGTCACGACCATACGAGCTACGGATGTTAAAAGCACAACATATGCACAGCTCATTTTGCGGACCTTATTTACATTCTACCGCCAATTGTCGATGGTGGGGGGCCGACGAGAGTAAGGCGCTTCCAGGACTTTCACGATAGGAAACAGATGATCAAGTTCAAGAGTCTTTTGGATGGCAAGTCAATGAAAAAGAATATTGAGTTGGTAGTTTTGGTCACGAAACATGGGATAGGCGAGTCCATGCTTCCGACGACGGACAATATGCCATGCCATCCAATGTAAACTGTATTCATATTGGTCGTTAATGAGATGAACGTCACCCAATAACCGGAATATCCTAGCCTTGTCGTTGAGATTGGAAATTCTTGGAATCAACCATCCTGTGTGAAAATGACTCGCCACCTGATGTGTGGGTCGTCATCACACCCATCAATCAAAAGGATATCCATGTTTGTATATGGCTTTGTGTCTATTCGTGTTTTCTCGGACAAAGACTATGTATGGTATCCAGTTCCTCTCGTCCTACAGACCACGAAAATAGTTACAGTTAGTTTTTCATTTCCTGTGTATCTGTAATAACCTGAAAACTCTGGCCTGAGGCAGAGTTACCATAGAGCATATCCGGCCAGCCAAGATCAGCCAAATAGAAAAATTACAAGGTCATCTCCAAGACCGGCTTTCGGAAATAGCAATCCTGTGCTTAATGAAAAGATCTTTGCGTAAATTAGTAATCTAGGCTTTCGGAGATGATTAGAATTTAAGATACAGGAAGAATCCACATATTATTTCCTAGATTAAATACCTGAGGAGATTCACAATTTAACTCAGATACCCTGTGTCGGAGCACTTGCTCCGGTAGACTTGAGGAGTGGATTCATGCCTTAGGCACACAAGTGGACTTTGGTTTTATCAACGCTTCAGGGGCGTCTATACACAGATATCCATATACACATACATCTTAATAAGTCACCGAATAGGGCATGACCCTCATCATCTATTGGCAAAAATTAAACACAGCAATATACCACATTCCTATTAACTTTAAAGCTATTTAGATAGTTTTAGCTGTCCTTCATGGTCATAGACTCAGTAAGGACATAAATAAAATTCTATTCTATTCTAATAAGTCACCACTTCTGCATTAGCAAACCCATTCTCATTTCCTGTGATATTACAGAGATTTAACCTATTACAACAACACCCTGTCGCTGGATCAATTGGTGTTGTTATACAGCAGAGCAAGTCCAGAATAAAATCAGTGAATTATGAAGTAAATAATGACTCCTCAGTTGTTGAGGTTTTTGTTTTTTTTGTTTTCTACTTTTCGTCCGTCGGGGCGCCAAGCTTGACTTAGGTACCTACTACCCACTAAACTAACTAGAGGTATGGACGCCAGTGCTTACTGCCCCGGTGGCTTCGCCCTAGCTACTTCCTAACTAGGTTTGCAGGGCAATTCTCTAATTACATGATTGCGTGTAGCGTAGCACCTATACCTTTATAGCTAGTCGCCAAGGCTCTTTACTCCTTTGATGTATTACATCTACTCTCGGGATGCTACTAATAGATGCATTTAGAAATACCGCACCATCCATCCATAATGCAAGGCTCAAAGTGGAGGCAGAGTTTAAGACCTATTTATTCCTTCTCTGGGATTTCTAGGGCAGGCCCTTATATAGAACTTAGAAAGAGACAGCCACTTTGCTATACGTAGGACCCCTTCCCAGCTTCCTAGCAAAAATTTCTTTGGGTCCCTTGAATATGCTGGAGCTCGAGGGGTTCTGTGGGTGGTTAGGTGGCACTCTAAGAATTGAAACGGGGCTTAGGGCTGTCCGCAGCCACACTGAAGGTTAGCACCCTCGTGATTGAAACGGCGGTGGTACTCTGCAAAGTCACCATGTCCTGAGCGGGCAGCGTATAGTCTAGAGAGAAATGGTCTGGCTAGTGAGGGTTCCTTAGGGTGACGAGAGTATTAGTCGATGGCAAGCTCCCTGTGGGAAATTGAAGCATGTCGGTCCCAGTAATCTTTCATAGCCGTCGATACTTCTGCTTTGAAGCGACTTTTCGCAGTATCAAAAGAAACGTACCCACGAGGTATAGGAGAGTGTTTTGAAAGCCCCTTCCGTACAGAGGCGTCGGCCAAATCGTTACCCAATATGCTAGAGTGGCTTGGGATCCAATAAGCCTTGATTTTACCGGGTGGGATGTGTAGGAGCCGGGTGCGGAGAGGCCAGTCTTGGGAGAGGGCCTGTATTTGTTGAAAAACAACTGGTGCCGAGCAAATTGGGGACTAAAATAACAGGCGAGCTACCTCCAGGTTATCTGTGAGTATCCAAATATTTTCTGAGAAGCGTGCTGTTGGTAGGGAAAGCGCAGCTTCGGGGGCTTCTTTCACGGCGGTCACTTCTGTGTCGAAAGGTGACAGCGTCGAGTCGAGGGATAGACTTTCGCGGTGTACCATCTGGCCAGCTTGAAAGATAACGATTTCACCGCCTGTCCTGGGCGATTCTGCTATCTCAGATCGAGCGCCATCTGTATAGACTGCTAGATCCCAAAAAGGGATGCCAGAAGGGAGATAAATGGGTGGGTGCGTAACTCGCCTTACACTATTATACCATGTCTCAGTGTTGTAAAGGTAAGAGCTTACGGAGGTTAATTGGCAGAAGGTTTACGGATGATTATTGATGATTATTGATGAATCAATGTGAACTGCTGATATATTTGATTTCAGAACTATGAGGATTTAGGAGGTAGAAAGCGCTAATAATATATACATCTGAGGTAGCTAGACTCTCGCCTCATTTACCCAAAATAGTATCACGGAATATTCTAGTCTCCTCCATCTGGCAGTACAATCTAAAAACACTTTCTATACAGTGCCCCATTGTTTCTCTACTCATCATGGAGCCACCTGGAAAGTTCTTCCTTCACCCTCAGTGATCATTACCCTTGTGCATCGTAATCCTAGCCATCACCAGCACAACACTCAATTTTGAGCCATGGCGGCTGAATCAGAGGGTCAATCGTTTCAGCGTTTCGAATTCGGAGAGCCCAGCCCGCAAAACGGGAGACTCGTCGATTTTGTGCCCGGATCCATTTGGCTCTTTGCCGGAATGGGTATCTAGAGTCCAGGCGTTGGATGCGCAGTGCCGCGAATTTTGATATAGAGTCCAGCTCTAAATCAGGAGGGAGGAGTTCTGATTCGCAGTACAGAATAGGGATTGGTGTAGTCCGATATCCAGGTAGGATAGCTCTGGCCCCCGTTAGAATAACTTTGCGGAGGGTGGATGAGTGTCCTTCGACTCGATTCGAGATGAGTCTTTTGCTGTATCTTGTGCAGCCAGGCCACCATGTCTCTGCGCCATAGTAGGCTATGGAAAGTGTGAAAGCTAAGGTGGCTTGTCGGATACTTTGGGGGGGGGGGGCGCTCCTCGGACGGTGTTTCTGAGAGAACGGAGTGCGTTGGCAACTTTAAAAGTCTTCTCAGCTAGTATACGGACATACCATTTAAATGAGAAGGTTCAATCAAAGTGGACCCCTAGCCAGCGCGTCTAGGGTTTATTTGGGTCTTTAGAGACCCTTATATCTCTGTGATAGACAGAAGGGGTTGACAAAGGGTCGCGGTCTGCCCGTTTTCGAGAGAAGTGTTGTAGTTCCGATTTTTCTCGGTCGAAAGTAATGCCTTTCCTTTTCCCCACTCGACTGCTTCTGCCAGCGAGTGAGAGAGAGCTGTGCAGTTACTCAGAAGGTTAGGCCCTGTCTCAAGGAGAGCGACATCGTGTGCATAGCCGAATCTTTTCCTCTTCATTCCCATCTTGAAGAGCGGTGAAATGTAGAGCATGAATAGGATGGGCGAGGCAGGTGAGCCTTGTGGAAGACCGCAGTCCACATGTTGAGGGGGGCCTATTACTCCATCGAGACAGACGCACACCGTTCGGCATGAGGCAAAGGATCCTACCAAACGCACCAGGTTTTCAGGCAGACTCTGCTCTCGTAGACGGCGGAAAAGCCGTCCTAGATGTCACGGATCAAGGAACAGGCGCTGGTGCAACTATGTGGTCGATAGTATATAAATTATCATTCTGAAGAGAGAACCACTTCGGTCTCTATCTATACATGTATATACACATTGTCTCTATGTTTACGAGGCACAGTCCCTCCCTGTCTCGGATCCAATGGGATTCTTCACATGTGTTGGCCCTACTTGTTGTAACACCTCAATGTGTTGTAGCTGTATAGTCCAATACTGCTGCCATGCCAAACTAGATGCCATGGCCTTGATATTCTGTTGAGCGGCATCATATATCCGCGTATTGACGAACATTCGTGCGCTACCAATATCAGGCTAGGCTCATGTTGGCCAACATGCGCTACAGGGACCAGTCGGCTTACCAGCCGTTATACTAGATATACGGCGTCGAAGGCTCCCTTGACATCCAAGGTGAGCATACTGGCTGTAGAGCCCTCGTAAATTTCCTTCTCTGCATTGTATTGAAAGGCTGAGGGCGATGGCTAGGGAGACGTCACCTTGTGAATAGAATACTGATAGTTATGGGAGAATTCAATAGATCACTTAGACAGAGTAAGATGATTGAGTGATGGTGAATTGTATTTGTGGGTGTGGATGTAGATACTGAGAGTAAAAAGGCCCTATCTATATACAGGAGTTCCTACCCTTATTCCTCTACATGTTATTATCTATAGTAGCTGGAATAACTACAATGATGTCCTCATTGTAGTGAACACGTTGATATCAATGTGTAGCGACCAGGAGGCAATAGTGATCAGACTCTAAGGGGTTAACTTTGCTGGTGCACGATTATCCCCTGATGCTGTGTGCAGTTATGGACTCAGATTTTTACAACACATTGTGGGTAAGGCAGGTAGTTAAGTCAACAGCCGATCTGCCTGGAGAGTACTGAATTGTTGGCTCGATATCACCTTATGCCGGACAGCAGTCCAAGCCATTTTTTGTAATAAATCTCTCTAATCCTTTGCCAAGTACAGAAAGTAGTGCGATTGGGCGGTATGATCGGGGCGAAGAATAGTCTGTCTTGTCCGGCTTTTGTATCATGACCTGAATGGCCTTCCGGAAGCACTCAGGATGTTGCTCAATCGAAAGGCACGCGTTAAACAGAGAGAGTACTTGTTGTTCAATCAAAGGCCACGCGCGTCGGATAATGGCCGTCAGTATCCCGTCTGCATCAGGAGAAGTGTTGCCAGCACGTAGGATTGAGTCTCGGATTTTCTCGATGGTAGAGGATGGGAAGGGTAGTGAGGTTGAAGAGACTGTTGGAGAATCCATAGGGATGTCACCAACTACTGAGGGGTTTGCGAGTAGATCTTGCATGAGAACCTCCATTTTTCCGGCAAGACTCTGGACTGGAGGTTGTTCTGGGAAGCGAGAGTCTCTAAGCGAGCGTGGACGATAAGTTCCCGCAGATTTATGCCACTTGGTAACTCCAAATATCTCCTTAGCCGTGTGGGCCCTCTCAAACTTGGTCTTGAAAAAATTGTTTTTTGCTATTTGTACTGTTTTCCTGTAGGCCTTTTGGGCATCACAAACACCACTTTCATTGGACGGAGACCACAGAGCTAACTTGTAGCCCTTCCTAGCCTCTTTGCACGAATCGTTCCACCAAGGATTGCCATGTCCGGCACCTAGAGTGCGCTTTGCAGCACCGCAACATGTGTCGTATATAATTTTCACGAGAACCTCCGCTTGATTGTCTAGATCTTCACTTGAAGGGGATACTGGAAGAGGGGCTAGGCCTCTACAGCCCAGTTCCAAGAGTTGCCTGAATAGGGTTGGGTCCAATGTGTCGGGTCGGAGCCGCTCTTGAGGGACTGGAGGGTTGGCCCAGCCTAAAGTTGCTATTAGTGGCAGATGTTCAGACGTGGCTGCGAGATGTCTAGCATTGCCATAGGAAACGTTATTTACAGTAAGACTCGTACCAAATGCCAAGTCTAGAACGTTGCCTCGGTTATGGGTAGGTTTGTCAGGTGGGGATAGGAAGATGAGGGAAACGGAATTCGGCCACTCCACAAACTGCACGGCCCCATAAGAGGGGCCACGTTCTATTGAGGGCTGCCACCTGGAGTGATGTAGGTTAATATCACCAAAAATTAAGTAGTTTCCCGAGAGAGGAGCCGTCAGAGTTGCCATGAGAGCATTAGCCCCGTCACCTGCGCCAATCGAGCCTGGGGCGCGTTGTCTACATTGACTACTGTCAGCGACTGCCAACTATTCTGGGATAAGCGGATGAATAATAGGTCAGAGGAGATGTTTGCATAGACTTCTTCGGAATTGATTCACACCCCCTTATGCAAGTAGGAGATTACTCTAGGGCGAAGAGCTGTCCAATCATCGATCGGAGAGAAAGATCCGAATGAGCGGTGGCGAGAAGTTGTGCGTCGGGAGAGATCTCTGGAAATGTACGGCTCCTAGCTTAGAACTACGTCAATCTGTTCTGTGTAGGCCTGGGCTAGTGCAATATCATATACTGTGCGACTTCTTCCGGTGTTTAGGGAGAGAATTGTCAAAGACTTTGGGCATTTTTCGCGACGAGTTGTGCAACTCATTACAGCTGTATTTGGTCCTCGTTCAGATCTCCCTCGTCAGCGAGACTTTCAAAGGGATTGTTCATTCGCACGCACTTTGCTGCGCTTGAAGATGAGTGATCTGTTGAGGGGGCTTGAGCGTGGGTTGCAGCAGCAGGGGCTTAAGCTGATGATAAAGTAGAGCTGTTGTTGACGTTGGATGATGCCGATAAAATGTCTTAAGCAGGCGATTTGACGCAGCCAGTTTCTGCTTGAGCGCGAAGTCGGGCATCAGCGCAGATTTTTCTTATAGCGCTCATCTGAGACTTGGATTTGGGAGCTGAAGATTGATTTGGGCGGAGTGGACAGTTTAAGGAGTCCGCAGGGTGGAAACCGTGGCAATGAATGCAACGCGATGGGTAGACGTGGTCTCCGGTGGCCGCACACAGGCAGCCATGATTCTCTTTAGTGTGTTGAGTAGAGCCACAGAGGCTACATCGAGGAGCATCTGCGCAGATCCGGCTGTTGTGCCACAACCAACACCTGGTGCATTGAATTGTTGTAATGCGACGAGGTAGTAGGCGTACATAGGTCCTACAGGCGAAAAGATAAAGAGCTCGAGGTAGACGGTTATGGAACTCTGGGAAGCGGACTATCCAAGTCGAAGAAGGGGATCGGACGTTTTGATCGTTATCCTGGGAAGCCTGAATGGCTACAGGCGCCGCTCCTACTGCAGCTTTCAGCGCCTCAGAAATAGCTTCGGGGGAGACTGCTTGAAGACAGTATTGGGAGTTTTCGTTCAAGGTACCGCAATTCCGAGGGACATTCTCGATCCTGTAGGAAGTCCATGGGGATGCACGCTCAATTGGTGCGTTTCCAAAAACGCCTACAGAGTTAACTTTTTCTGCCAGATTATCTATATGGCCTGTACTTGGGCAAAGTGCGAAGCCAGTATTTGTGGGCAGGTGTCACGGTTCGAGTGTCGATGCGGCAGCAATCAGATATACGAAGGTAGTTTATTATTTTCTCTGGGCCTATCTATACAAGTCCTACCTCAACTATTTATACACTTACTATACTATCTGGAATATTCTTCTCACCTGTAACCAGTTTCTAGTATGTTCTCCTGAGGCTGGTTCGCAGTCCTACTACTGGTTACTAGAAGTTTCTAGTGACGTCCCGATTGGTCTATCAAAGAGTATTGAGTTTCGAAGATTTGTACAGGACGTGATTACTGTCATGTGACACTGAATAATTACCGGCTCACTAGCCGTTACAGCAGGACATTTGGAAGCAGTTTGCTGTGCTCCCCCAGCCTAGTCGTTAGGAATGTCTGCAACTCATACCTCGAATAGCCGCGGAGTGTAGAGTATTATGATTGGTATATGATTTGGGAATTTACACGTGCGCTGGAACAGCTAAGATAGTTTGTGGAGAGAAATCTTCATTAATATGCAGAAGTGATGTTACTGTGATAATTGTTATGTACAATTCGGGGGAAGCTCGTCCCTTATCCCCTAGCTTGTTCGCTTGTAGACCGGTTACGTAACCAGTATGCAGCGATCCAAGGTGTGCTCCCAACTGAGCGGCCGTGCCATTTGTCCTAAATCAACATCCCATCTCTCGTACTGCACACATTACTGCTTGTACTGTCGTTATGTAGAGACTGGATCTCCTTCATGCGCCATAATGCCATGCTGCTATAATACATACCGAAGTGGAACTAAGTACAGAATTTGTAGTCACGTGTGCATCAACAGCGTGGCCTACTGTTGGAAATGGAGACACAGAGTGTTGTGGACGTACGGGCCCTCCATTTCGTCTAGGTTCCCGACACGATCTCGTGTGTATTAAAGAGGTTGGAATGAGTAATATGGTGGCGCTTCAGGCTACCTAATGAATAAATGAGCGGCTGTAAGGCGTGGGCAAAAGGGGTTTGAATTTGAATTTGATTTCATTTAACCCGATTTGGCGCCCTATAGGCCCATGCAGGTGTCTACGAACTCTAATATTTATTTAGGAGGAAACCTTTATGGTATAATCCCCCTCAACTTTTCAATTTATATACACCTAAAGTTTGTGTTACCTTCACGAAGTGCAATAATACTGCTATATCCAGTGCGGATACCGTCCACTTCATTGCTACTGGCAGGAGATCATCTTTCCCCTGCTTTCCCCTCTCTCCCTCATCCTGGCCTCGACTTCAAGCGTCAGTCGAAACTGCTCTAGCCATCCTTCCTGCTGGATCCATTTTGTAATCCTTGCTATATCTTTTGGACTATTCATCATGGCCTCTTTTTTTTTTTTTTTTTTTTTGCATCAGATTTTAATTGCGTATGCAGCTATCTAGCTATGACACAATATCAAAGAAAAGTACAGAATAGATGATTCAATTTACAAGAGGAGCACTCATGCCTCAGATTTCATTTGCAAGTACCACTGCGAAGTTATGGCGGCTTTTTCTTCACCCCAAGTCAACCCTCATCCGTGGATACCCACCCAGGGGAACGTCTCAAAAACCCCGAGTTATCCAGACATGCCTTCATCATCTTTCAAATATTCTCCGCGCGATATGTGATCTGAGGTGTCTCTTTCCCAAGTGGAGTAGGTGCCCAGGCTACTCAAACTATACCAGAGAGGTCGAAGAGAGGTGTGGTCATTGGGATGAGGATGTACTAGGTCGTACTCGTAGACTTGATAAGACTTAAGTAGGCGTCAAACTCGTTGGGAGCGGAAAAACGACGTGGTGGAGTAATTTTAAATTTTGCCTCGTGGGCCAACTTCTTTGATTTTGCGAAATTTGACTAAACTTGGCTCTGAGAGAATTTTTTCACTCCCAGGTTCGTAGAGGACACCGCGTACAGGTGTTCAGTCTTGCCCTCCCATCATGGCCTCAAATGACTGGTTCTCTGCCTTTCTTAGTATATTTCCTCTTCCTTTGGCCCAGCTGGTGCAGGCCAAGATCATATGCTTCACATACCGGGACGGATATCCACATTGGCATCGTGGGTTATCTACTCCTGGAACTTTTCTTCTGTGCAGATAAGAATAGCAAAAGGGGGTTATTGGGTTCTTCTATGCCTAGATGGCACCACACTCGTTTATGCTGTGGCTTGGGCTATGTATCGCTTCAGCTTGTACTTGTAGCGTACACTTTCCACACTTTTAGCTTCAATCCGAACATGACACTCTTTTAGTCACCTTCTACTTTCGTTCCATTAATATTGCGCCCATTTCATTGCGTGATATTTCCAACACCTACTTGATAGCCCCAATTATTCTAAATTCCAACATGAATTAATGGGATCCCGAGAAAATAATCCCTTCTTCTGGCTTTAAACATAGGGAATCGTAATTATCAGCGCCGATCATAACAATCTATGTTGCTAAGCAACCACATCTAGACCGCAATATTGGTAGCCCTCGTCGCTAGCTAGGCCCTATGTTCCATCCCTGCCGTGCTGGCGCAGATAGTACAAACCCAAAGGATTGACCCCGTTATCGGTAATAGGTTTATATTTGAGCGTTTTGAAATGTTCTGTGTAATTGCGGTGTTCAGGATGTCGTTAGGACTCTGGCAAGGATCTGAATTAGCTCATTAGCGAGGCGCTTGGAGTAGAGGAAGAAAGGGGAGACAACGTTAAAAGTGTTTCGAGATACCAGTTACTTGACTTTATTCACCGACTTCGTGACGGCACCCAATTTGTATTACTTCGTGTCTTACCAACACCCGTAACATACCCTCACGCGATGGATGGTTCAAGGACGAGCCAGAGATTGGATAACGAATTGTTCTGATTGTAAGAAGCAGAAAAAATGGCTTACCCAGATCTTCAGCTTCGCAAGTTGTATATTTCCCTTCTTTTGATCATAATCATGTTTATTGTGTATTTATGTATGTAGAAATTTCGTATCAGGCAAAAGCCCTACACCCAAGAGGTATGATATGGGTGTGTGATCCCTAAGGCCTCACTACTACCTATCTATCCAGCTTTCTAGGCCGATTGATTACATGAAAAGAAGAAATAAAGAAAATTGCCTAGACAAAAACGCCCTGCGCCTTTCCCACTTTCATATTCAACTGCTAAAGATATTCCAGTCCCTCGGAAAGGTTTAGCCCTCTCAATGTGAAAATTGCCCGGCGTAGCTTCTCGTTACGGTTATGTACTTATAGAATTCCTCCCATCCGTTTTCTGTCAACATAACTCGGCTTCTTGGTGATGGTTCATGTCTGGATATTCTCCATTGTCGCAAAGCCGTTCGGCACTCTACAAAGTGCCAAGGACGTCTTTCCCTTCTACAGACGCATCTGCAGTCTACATTTTCATGCCCGAATCTGTCGTGGTAGCCCTTGAAGTCCCCGCGTCCTGATCTCGCTGCTAACAGACGATGGTACACCCATCTCGGCAGCCCAAGCTCGGGTGGTAGTTTTCGTCCCATTAGAAGGTCTAACTATTCGTACCGTCTTGGTCTACTTCGTAGCTGCCAGGATTCCACAGCTTCCTCGACCTGCTCTCGGACGGGCCGGTTCAGCGCTGCAAAGGTGTATATCTGCTTACTCCTTAAGTCTAAGAAGTCTCTCAGAGCTGCTTCGGCCAATTTATCTGCCTGCTCGTTTCCGGTAATCCCAGAATGTCCCGGTATCCAACGGACTTCGACTGATAGAAACTGGCCTGTCTGAGTCGTAAATTTGTCAAGCATAGACTGAGACGATCTTGTTCGGCCGCTTCATAGAGCTCGCACGGCATTAGGGTTGTCTAAAAGTACCTTTACTGGGCCTCCGTTTGCCTTCTTTATGGCTTCTTCCATGGCTTTCTGGGCTCCCAACAGCTCTGCGTCGTAAACCTCTGCTCCGGGCATGGGACCTGATCCTGACTCTATCATTTGGCCTACGCTGTATAAGGTGTATCTCCTGGAAGATTTCGTGGGGCCGTATGAACATCCGTCCGAATAAGCACAGACTGTCTCCGCTGACAGACTAGCTATCCATTGCTTGGCATGATCTACTTCCACTCTCTTGTTGCTACCAGTGGTTTCACTTTTGGGTCCAACTCTTGGGTAATAAAGTTTACCCGGACCTTCAGCTATCTGCACGCTCTTAGAATTTATTTGGAGCCTCGTGAGGTGACGATCCAGCAAAGAGATCGCTCGGTTTCTTTGGCCTGTTCACAGGCCTAGATGACTTATCGTTTCTTTGGGTTCTTCTCCAGATCTGAATACTAGCGGGTGTCAAGTGTCGAGTCGTTGTACCCGGGCAGCGGCCTGGAGTTGCCTTTTCTGTAGCAGAAACTTTTCTGGAGGGACGACTGACTCTCGAGACAGAGTCTTATTTGGCGTGCTACACCATGCGGGTAGCACTGCTCGAACTGCTTTTGGGATTGTACTATTCAACAGATTGTTATACCAACTGACCCTGGTACCCACTCTCTTGTCACGCTTATTAGTGATCATAGTCAGCCCTGGCCACCCTGCCTCTACTCCATATAGTGCCGTGCTTAGGACAAAAGATTGCACCACTTCGATCATTGGACTCGGGTCGGTCCCACGTTGGACCATAATAATATAATGTATAAATTGGATTATATGTTGGGCTTTCACGCACCATTTTCGAACATGCTGCCTAAAGGAGAGTTGGGAGTCTAGCCATACTCCGAGCCATTCCTCACATAGGGATGGTTGAATGCTTTGTCCCTTGATCTGTTAGAAATTGTCAAGGATTTCTAGGAGGAAAAATCCCGAAGAATAAGTGTACAATTTCAGTCAAGAATTTGTTGATAGTTGTGTGGGATCTCGAATTCTCTTCTCAATATGAATCAATAATATATAATGTTCCATCAACTTGGTTTAACATATACAAATAAGTCTATCCTTAAATACAGATTCCCAAGACTTTAGTGATCCCAAACTACCACTCATCTAGCAACAACCAGCCTCTCAATTATCGCAAGATAGCATTTCCTAGCCACTGCATTTCAGCTACCACCGAACCTCATGTCGCCCAGCTAAGCTTAACCATACGCAATCGAATCAATTCGATTGATCTTAATGATCATACTTCGAAATCTAAACCTTCATACATACTGAGTCTGGATTTCCAACACTATCCAGCACAGACACATTCATAGTGTCAGTGCTAAGTTACGCTTGTATTGAGATCCGGAACTGCCCATGTTTGAAACGTTGTTGGTAACTAGCCCACACCTGGATAATGGGAGCACGACTGGAGGACAGCTACTAGTGTTTGGAATATTGGAATCATGTGTATATATATATAGGGCGTTATATGTAGCATTACCTTTGTTCTTCAGTTAATAAACTTCCCTTTTGACATACAAATGCCCAAGCTTTATATAACGGGACATTTACATGGGACCGCACAATCAGGTGGTGCGAGTATTTTGGTCACCCTAAAAGCCTCTGCTGGTAAGGCCTTCTTCGAGGGTTGGTGGGTCTTACGGGGGAGGCTCATTTGCCTGTGTGATTCCAACAGCAAACAACGCTACTATCGTAGCTATACTTTCAATAAGATGCACCACCGTGGCACTCGCTGCTGTTCCTGCCTTAGTTTTAGCCCAGGCGTCGATTATTTCTAAGAATTCCCGGGCAAGTTCCGGTCTTTCTTTGCTTTGTTGCTCTGCTATTTGTATTGCCTCGGCATTACCCATCAGAGTTGGGTGAATTGTTGCGCTGGGGTTGGCATCCATTGCACCGCTTTGTTTTTAGAATTAGATTGGACTCTAATTCAAGTTAATAATGGTGGGTATGCAATGTGGTGAGTATTTACTGTCTTTAACGGGCGTGGTGTTGTTCTGTATTATTTTTGTTATCTTGCTTCCACAGTTATCTCTTAAAGACGTACTGACCACACGATGGGTGCGCGAGCCACATTCCTTATGCTGTAGACCTGTAACTGTAGTTAGATAGCTTTACCACAGGCCCGACTGGCCTGAAAAACGCAGATGAAGATTTGTGTATGTAATGGCTATCTTATTATAGATGGTAGACTTGTGAGCTCGCACACAGCGTCACACCCTTCTTGATCTATGAATTCTTCATTCTAAACCTCCATTGTGAACCTCGATAATCACCTTCACCTCTGCGGAGACTGCAGATCCTACCCCTTTTGGATCGCGCTGTAACTGTTTCTGGATAATCCCACTTAAATAGTACCGCCCCCCCCAGTTGCTCCCATCTAATAATTCATTCAGAGCCTTTTTATTGAAATACAATTCCTTTGGGCAACTGATACTGGAATACTGGAGCTAAATTTGATAAAGTACGGGGTTAAACCCATGGGTGTGCTTCAACTTAAGTCTTCGCAACTGAAATACTGCGATCTCGCTTGGGAGGCTTTTCTCAACACCTGTCTGTGGTGTCCCCTACGAGCCTCCAGTTCTCACTGTAGAGTCTGCAGAGCTGAGATTGCGTAACAGAGTCCTCACTTCCATAAGGAATCCCAGTCGCTTTCGCCGTCTGTATCGTCTTCATCTCTCAACACATCCCTCTATCACCACTATCATGAAGCTAGCCACGATCAGATCAGATGGTAGGATCGGAGTCCTACTCATCACCCACCCTTGATCGTGGAGGAGATGTCATCTGATGAGTTTCCGGAGTGTACCCAGCACCCGATACGGAGATTACGGATTGGATCAAGTCGACCTCGACTGTTGCAAAGAAGGGAGCTATTGATGAATATGCGCATCCCATGTGGTCCCGGTGTCTAGGCCTCGCGAGGTTAGGGCTGCAGGTTTTTTGAGACTTTTTCCCGTGCACACAGTCTCCATCGCTACCATTTTGATTGTTTTGGGTAGAAGGTTCGGTGAAAAAGGAGGGCGAACTCCACGGGTAGATACTGAGCTGAATGGCTATTCATGAAGGGGAATATATCAATGATCTTTCAAGTAACAAAAAAGGCAAGGAGCACTGTACAAAGTGTGGCCTGGGCCAGAGGGGGAGCTCAATGTGCTAGACAGTCTAAGAATCCAGCAGTACAATAAACATACCTCTCTCTCTCTCTCTCTTCTCAATTATCAAGGAATTCGTCACCGTACAAGTGACAGTCATGCATTTTGGGATATTTCTTACCTCATATCAGGGCTTATCTTCACTTAAGAGTTCAGTCAAGAAATATTATTACCCCAAAAAAAGAATCAGACTAATTTCAACTAGAGAAGCAGCAAGGCAATTGGTCCATTTCCTAGAATCGAACATGAAATTGTCCTGTGGATAGACGCAGCTCCCTTGTAAATTTCTGCAGCTTGATCGAGAAGTATCCTCCTACTCAGAGGGTAAAATCACATCCTGATAGATTCACAACTTCAGATAGGCATCCCTTTGCTTAATTCACTCTCATGATGAAACGGTTTCATCGAGAAAACTCAATTGATGCGTTAACTTTCCCATGTAGCGCTAATGTCCTTTGTGGCCTTCAACCGTCCTTAGCCAAGTCCTCGTATGCATAGTACCTTAATGTGATCCAATTTCATCTTCAAATGTATCCATTGAAAGCATATTTGGAATCAGTTTCCCAACAGCAACAAACCATCACATCACATTTTTCTTGGTGCAGCTACCTAGCACTAATATTACGCTCCACTGCTCAATTATTTCTAAGAAAAAGGCAAGAAATGATTTTAAACAATCAGAATATATTTCCTATTCAAAAATTTATCGGTCTTATCTCTGGATCGTAGCTTTCCATATTTATTCGAATCTCTATGGTACCATGCATATATATCTTTGAAGATACAATATCACTTGTCCACGATAACATATGCAAAGATATTTCTTGTTTGTTGGAAGATAACTCATACTTTAGCCCACCTCTCGGATCTCTATATCCGAACTCTTGACCAAAGAAGGGGTACATTTGGTCTATTCACATAAATTTCCTAGATTAAAATGATACGAAAGCTAAAGATTATAATTTCTTACTTCGAAAGCAGATACTCTTAATCCTGGAGCTTATAAAGAACGATATCGTTCTGGCTTGTCATATTCTTGATAACTATATTCAAGTTACTAGCTGGAATCTGTATAGAAGGCTTAATAAGGCTTTACCCAGCTTGTGTATCTCATTCTGTGATTGCTATTGTGAGTCTAGGGACAAGTTTCCGGTTGCAAAGCTATCCTAATCTCAGCTTGTGAAGAATTTCTGATACTTAAGATGGCCACAAATATTTTTGGCGATACTGTTTTCTTTGGGTTTTCTATCGTCGGGAATATTCATTCTTTTCTCTATTAATCGGATTTTTAGCCCCTGTGGTTATTGTTTATCAAGTAAATGATAGTATTTGTTTGAAATCTTCATGAGACACAATAATTTTAATCACCTTTTCAGATGGTTATTTTGTTAAGATTATTCAAGTTTTTGCTTGTGATGAAGACCTTATGAATCTAAGGTATAAAAAAGAGTTCTTGATAGAAATTACTCAATTTTTCGGAATATGTTTTGTTGATTTAAGTTGATGCGTGCCGTGTTAGGTCTAAGACTTATTCCCAAGATTTCCACACTTCCATTGGCCCTGCTTCATTTTCTGCCTCCCAACCTATATGCTTCATCCGTCTTACGCCCATGTTATCAGCTTTGAAGGCCAATTCAGCTTCTCTTCTTTGCCTAGCGATGGAGGCAAGCATCCAGTAGTCATTATGAGTAACCGCAAGAAGAAATGCATCTCTCATGTACGGACTATATAATTGACAGCTCGCCCTAGAAACTAGGTGGACGTCTTCAGAAAACATCTTGGGAATATCTCTACCCTCTTCAAGTAGCGGCCAAACTACTGCATTGAAGCATTCACCACAGACGGTAAATTCGGGTAATTGGGGTATTATATGCCAATGGCAATCAAAAAGCTCGGTGTCAAGCTGACATTCTTCAAAGGTATCAAAATGAAGTGCCAGCCTTTCGAGCGAATGTGGATCAGGGGGAGCCCCTTCAGTGTTTGCCTCCACGGCTATTTTCTCTAGTTCATCGAAGTACTGTACGAAACGCCTACTATTCGATCTAAGGGCACATATTCCAGTTTCAGCGTTGTAAGAGTCAAGATAGACAAACATGCCATGAAGAATCGGCAAGAGAATTTCAACATTCTTCACACAAGTTAGACAGACTTTAAAGCCACGAATTGGGACTCCTGTTCGTGTATTGACAATCGAGCACCATTGCCGCACAGTCTCATGCTCACCAAGGCATTCAGGTAAGGTTTCTGCGATATTTGCCAGCTCGTGAAATAAGTCGAGACTTCCTAAGTTTTCTGTGATAATCATGAGCCAAGCAATTCGAAACCAAGGTGATTTTCCAAAGTCGCATAAGACCCTAACACCTGGTTCATTTCGAGGAGATGGTACAAAGAATTGATTAAACTCTGTCGGTGCAATCGACATATCAAAGCATGACGGGCAGACATCGAAGTTGGGACAATGAGGCAATGTCAACCAATCGTTTCGGCCTTCAACAAACTCCATTCTTGGACAAGGAGGTAAGGGCACGGGAATGGTGTATTTATGATCAAAGTTATCTGATGATTGAAAATAATCGTCGAATGGATAACTTGCGGCTAAAGGTTGGAGTGATAATGGTGGAAGATATGGCGATAATGGTTGCGTTAATACCTTTTCAAAGGAGGCTATTCCTCGCTTAGAAGCTTCAGTTTGGTTTTCAAACCTATCAGAGACTGGGGATCGCAATCGCCGCATCTTAAGTGTAGTTACTGGACTTCGTTTATCTGTTCGGTATAGCTGTCTTTCTGGAGAGAATGGAGAAGGAGATCGTGATGGATCGTTCTGAAATTTCTGTTTAAGCTTCCAAGCAGGTAGTTGGCACGTTCGTTCTTTCATGAAAGCTGGACTTGATGGAGCACTTGGGGACGATAATGGTGAGTTTAGCCTGGAAACTGACTTTGTATCACGAAGGGTCTTGATACTTTTAGAGGAGGATCTATGTCTGCTTTCTTCCCTAATACGATTTTGTGGACGGTATCGTGAGTTCTTTATAATTTCTACAAAGTTGGAATTATCTTCATCGCTGCTAACATCATATCTTCTTCTGTGTTGCTGATCAGTATCCACGTCATGGGCGAATCGAACCGAGTGAGTCGATGTACATCTTTCTGCTCTGCTAGTGATAGAACTTTCTGAGGGCTGCCTTTGTCTGATATGTTCATTTTGAACACGGCGTCCACGAGTCTGGCAAGTCTCAATAATTTGAACTTTTGCGCAACGGTTGCCTGGAGGAGATGGCGAATTTCCACGACTTGGTTTCTCTGGCACAAGTGTGCCTGTGCGTCGTCTGGAATGATTTTTCTCTGAAATTTCTGGAGTTAGCTCAGGTGGTGTATTTTTACCGCTTCGAGATTGATTGGATGGATTATTCCAATGCTTCTGGTCATTTTTACATGAGTTGACAACTTTAAGGGCTGGGTCCTGAAGTCTATGGGCCATGGGTGAAGGTTCCCTTCGCCGATTTAAGTGAGTAGATTCCTGTGCTTTGGGCTTGATTGCCGCCTGAGAGTCTCCTTGTCGAAATAGAGGATTAGAGTCCTGTATTCTAGAATGAGATATGGGTGATGCTTCTCTTCTCCTGGACTGGACATGAGTGTCTTGAGATTTGCTGTAAGCTACAGGTGAAGGCTCCTGTCGCCGAGACGGAAAGATTGAGTCTGAAGCTTTAGAATTATTCACGGGTGAAGAATCTTTTCGTCGGTACAAAAAGTGTGAGTCATGCGCTCTAGGGTGAGCTACAGGTGAAGATTCTCTTCTGCGAGGCGGAGGAATGGAGTCATGTGTTCTAGAATGAGATACAGGTGAAGCTTCTCTTCTGCGAGGCGGAGGAATGGAGTCATGTGTCCTAGAATGAGATACAGGTGAAGCTTCTCTTTTCCGGGGTGGGATGGTGGATTCCGGTGTATTGGGATTAATAACAGGCGAGGGTTCTCTGCGTCTGGATGGAAGAATGTAATCCGGATCTTTGTTACTGGTCATTGGTGAAGATTCCCTTTGCCAAGACGAAAATGTAGAGCCTTGAACTCGGGAGTTAGTTACGGGAGAAGATTCTTTCCGCCTAGATGGAAGGGTGGAGTCCTGTCTTCTAGAATGAGCCACTGGCAAAGATTCCTTCAGCCGGGATGGAAGGGCGTAGTCCGGAGATTTGGGGCGAGTTGTGGGTGATTTGGCTCGTCGAGAAGGAAAATTCGAGTCTTGAACTCTGGGATTGGTCACAGGCGAAGAGTCTACTCGTCGAGACGGAATAGCTGATTCCTGTATTCTAGAATGAGACACAGGAGAGATTTCTCTTCGTTGGGATGGAAATGCCGAGTCCCGGGTTCTAGAATGAGCTACGGGTGAAGGGTCCTTTTGCCTAGAAGGAAGAGTGTAGTCTGGGGCCCTAGAATTAGTCACGGGTGAAGAGTCTCTTGGCCGGTTTGAATGAGTAGAATCCTGAATATTGGAATAAGCTACAGGTGAAGGTTCCCTTCGCCGGGGTAAAAATTCCGAGTCCTGGGTTCTAGAATGACCTACAGGTGAAGGATCCTTTTGCCTAGATGGAAGATTGTAGTCTGGAACTCTGGGATTGGTCACAGGCGAAGAGTCTACTCGTCGAGACGGAATAGCTGATTCCTGTATTCTAGAATGAGACACAGGAGAGATTTCTCTTCGTTGGGATGGAAATGCCGAGTCCCGGGTTCTAGAATGAGCTACGGGTGAAGGGTCCTTTTGCCTAGAAGGACGAGTGTAGTCTGGGGCCCTAGAATTAGTCACGGGTGAAGAGTCTCTTGGCCGGTTTGAATGAGTAGAATCCTGAATATTGGAATAAGCTACAGGTGAAGGTTCCCTTCGCCGGGGTAAAAATTCCGAGTCCTGGGTTCTAGAATGACCTACATGTGAAGGGTCCTTTTGCCTAGAAGGAAGAGTGTAGTTTGGAACCCTAGAATTAGTCACAGGTGACAACTCCCTTTGCTGAGACGGGAGAGTTGAGTCTGCAGCTTTAGTTTTAGTCACTAGTGGAGGTTCTCTTTGCCAAGGGGAGTGGGTAGAGTCCTGAGGTTTGGATTGAGCCACGGGTGAGGAGTGTCCTCGCTGGGATGAAATATTTGGCTCCTTAACTTGGGGATCAGTCACAGGTGAAAGGTCTCCTCGCTGGGACAGGAAATTTCCCTCTACTGAACCCGATACGGATAAGGCTGGCAGCTTTTTGTGGTCTGACTTTTTATGCCGAGCTGAAGTTTGTCCTGATGTGCTGCGGGAATTTTCTTTTGGAATTCCAGCATCCTTGTCCTGAGATTTGCTGTTTCTCGTATTTTTGTCAGTATTTTTCATTCGCTTCGATTTCTCCTTCGAATTAATAGTCTCAGAGAAGTTGCATGATTTTTTTTTGATAACATTAACCTCGATGATGATAGGATTTTGATCGATTGAGCCGCGATGCGGTGGATCTGAACAGCGCAAAACCGATAAATGCTCTCTTGCCAACGAAACATTTTCATCTTCTACCGACGGTGAAGGAGGATAATTGCCTCTACTGCCATGACAGGATCGACCATATTCGGCTGTCTTAAAATGCCGGTCGAGTTTTGACATTGGGGATCTGTGCGGTAGATGATCATTAGATAATTTTGTCCCAGGGCTAAGAATAGAGGCACTGTACACAAACTTCTTCAGATTCTCTCTTCCTAATGCCCAAGGGGTATTGCTCTTTGGCGGCACGTAAAATTCGCGCCATCGCTCCATGATACCTTCAAAGTTGTGTGAATACTTTATTCTGCTAGGAGCAAAAGCCAAAACTATTTGAATGTAAACAGCACACCTCTTGAACGTAAGTATTTAGCTAGCTGATTTTTGGTTAGGGAGGCTCTCTGCGCATGAGGTGGCTGGATCCAGAGATTTTCGAATGTGTGATATGTGGGAAAAAGAGGCGATTGGTGAAGAATGTAGTTACGGCCCTTCTTCGGATCCCTCTCCGTGTGACAGCCCAACATGACATACCCGGTCCGGCCTGCATCAGTTAGGCGGTGAAAGGAAATTGAGCACGTGTTTATTGGCCAAAAATTGTGGGTAGTCGGGAATATGTCTAACTAATTGATGCGGGGTAGCGTCACAACATGAACTTCAATTGGCATGTGAGTAATAATTCTAAGCTCAAAACTCTACACCATAATCGTTCCAAAGGTGAAAGTCTGAGGACAGAAAATAGAATGTCTGTTCGATGAGGCAATTTATGAAATGTAGTCCAAATGACAGGCAGTACAAACGGAGAGTCATGAATTTCAGGCCATAGTCAAGTCTTCCGACGGGCCAATGACGCTCATGATGCACGGCCACTGTAGTTGCACAGCAGTTTGGCGAGTCTAACAGTAGGCGGCAGAAAGACGAAATGATGGTCCAGTACTTTCTCCGCCACAAAAAGTCAAAAATAAGAGACACATTAATTGCTACTGAACATATAACGTCTGTCCTATGAGCACCGCCAATTTTTGAAAACTTTACTAGGCTAATCGCCTGTGTGTCCAATATATTAGACAAGACCCGACAGCATAGTCTTCCCTCCTGAGAGTGCCCTTTGTGCTACGGGTCACGGCTCGGTGTTGATATTACAAGAATGAATCGAGGAAGAGATACATGGAATCATGCGAGTTGTTGTATATCAGTTACTATTGAGACAGATGTCTTGGTATTCTCTAATTTCTAAGCAGGGGCTACCGGCAATGACTGCAAATACAGCCTCAGACCGTTCGGGCCACGTTGTTGGCCGCGAATATTTTTTAGAGTAAATTTTGTGTTCTAGGATACCTTTGAATAGCGCGATTGCGATAGTCTTCGTTCCGTCTATTATTATTGTTACTATTATTCCATTTATGTCCCATTTGAGTTTACAACTATGTAGGAGAGAGAGAGTTGTGTTTATTGTACTGCTGGATTCTTAGACTGTCTAGCACATTGAGCTCCCCCTCTGGCCCAGGCCACACTTTGTACAGTGCTCCTTGCCTTTTTTGTTACTTGAAAGATCATTGATATATTCCCCTTCATGAATAGCCATTCAGCTCAGTATCTACCCGTGGAGTTCGCCCTCCTTTTTCACCGAACCTTCTACCCAAAACAATCAAAATGGTAGCGATGGAGACTGTGTGCACGGGAAAAAGTCTCAAAAAACCTGCAGCCCTAACCTCGCGAGGCCTAGACACCGGGACCACATGGGATGCGCATATTCATCAATAGCTCCCTTCTTTGCAACAGTCGAGGTCGACTTGATCTAATCCGCAATCTCCGTATCGGGTGCTGGGTACACTCCGGAAACTCATCAGATGACATCTCCTCCACGATCAAGGGTGGGTGATGAGTAGGACTCCGATCCTACCATCTGATGTGATCGTGGCTAGCTTCATGATAGTGGTGATAGGGGGATGTGTTGAGAGATGAAGACGATACAGACGGCGAAAGCGACTGGGATTCCTTATGGAAGTGAGGACTTTGTTACGCAATCTCAGCTCTGCAGACTCTACAGTGAGAGCTGGAGGCTCGTAGGGGACACCACAGACAGGTGTTGAGAATAGTCCCCCACAACTATGTAGGACAACCTTTTTGAAAACAATATATATTTTACATTCTAATTTGAAGTTTTTTTAATGAAAGATGGGTTTCCCAATTATGGTTCACAATTCTTGCCGTCTACACTATGCTGTAAAAGGTCGTAGCACTGAAGTTCCAGCTCTCGCTAAACCAAACACAGTAGCACTGGACAACCGTCCACTTATTGTCTCACCTTCCCGCACTCACGTCAATCTAATTCAATGTATCCATAATATTCACGAGGTTAGTCTTGTCTGTGCCAGATCAGGGCCCCGCCGCTCGAATTTGTTGACCTCCGCTGTTTCACCTATCATATTCCTGTCACCTTCCCATGCTCTCGTGAAGTGACGCCAATTCTGTCTCTGACATTGTCACGACTAGTATCAATACTCTCACTGGTTCAGGTATCGAGGCTAGAGCTCGCTTCCTGTCAAAATAACCTTGAAATTTTTTCAAGTTATCGTGACGACAACATAGGAATTCTGTCGGAATATTAAGGCTGAACATCTTTCAGTGATTTTTTGTAAAGGCTTATGTGTAAAATATTCCAACTGATCCGCGGTTGGGTGAAGAATAATGATGGAATAAAACTCAATTTTTTGATTGTCGATTTGAAGATTTGTTGCTCGAAAACTTGGCCTAAACATAAGTCCGCAGAGTTATCACAAACACAGAATTATTTGGTGAAAAATTAATAACCCTCAAAGTTCAACCAAAGTATGAACCTATCTATGACTAGAGATCATAATTCCACAACTAATATTCTTCGGAGTCTCCAAATATTTGGGACGAACTTTGGCGAAAGAAATCTAGGACTACAGCACATCTGTACAACTGTCATACTAACCAACTATGCAGTCTCTAGTGAGGAAAGTCATGATAGAAGCAGGATGTGAAGAAATAAGGAAGATCTATTGCGACAATCAAATTCTTGCGTAGGAGCCAAGATACGTAATGAAAAGTGTAACCTGATGGTACTGTGAGATGGTGCTAGATGGGGACAACTGTCGAATCTAGTGAACCAAAGAGGGTTGTTGTACCTTTCATGGGCTCGGACTCATGGTATCCAAGGCTCAAGATGAAACAGCGTCTCGGCATGATAGAATTGCGAACTCTAGATGCCTTGATTTGGCGTAATTCAACACATGGGCGAAGAATGGTAAAAAAAGGCGCTTTCCATTTGTAATGGCACCATCGCTGAACAAATAATTAAATGATTTAAAAGAAGACAATGCTATTATAATCATTCAAGTGGGACACGGCTTTATTTAAAAAAAATCTTCTACGATTCCAGCTATACAGCCATGACCCATGGTTAATGATATGCGAACATACTGGATGATCTATTTAACTTCGAAAATTCTTCCAGTCAAAAATTATTTGAAAAAATGCCACTTTGAGGTATGTTTGTTAATACTGTGCATTTGAACGTCCTGCGTAAGTATATGAAGATATGGTACCAGGATGAAAAGCTGTTCGTACAAGAGTATCCAAAATGGGGTTATTTTATGTCTGATGGAGAAAACTACTTGTTGGAAAATATACTCTGTACGATATTATATGGATAAATATGATGAAGTACAGAAGACTTGATATTTTACAACTGTGGGAACATTGGACTTATATATACATATTAGGGGAGAAATTCCCACTAGTCTCATGTGCCTGTCAAACTTAGTGATGACCAGCCACCTCTCATCTACCATGATGATCCAATGTACACTGTAGTACGTAAATATCCAAACGTATAGGCGACAATAGGCGCGATTAGCGCACTCGTGACATGTGTGGAGAGAGTCGATCTTGTCGGGAACCTGAGACGAAACAGGTAGTGGTTGAGTCCTAAATTCGAGAGTCAGAATTTCCAACACTACTTCAGTGCGGCACTACCAGAAAGATTTTGTTTCGTTCATCGCTGATATCACCAAATCAAAGGAGCTGGATCAACTTAGGATCCCATCTCCAAGACAATATTCTGCAATAGAGTCACCAGCAAGGGAGGGTTTAAACGTCTCTGGTTATCCAAGATTAGCCTCGTCCGTGTAAACCGGCAGAGCAAGAAATGTAGTCTAGTATTGTTGGCTTCGCAAATTTTATCTTCCGTAACAGTTCCGATGCAAGTGACTTTGAAATTTGAAACTTAATTTTCTTATATAATTGTAGATTATATCTATGATAATCTGCAATGCTTTGCCACTATATCCGATCCTCCGGGTTTGAACGGTTTTAATAACTCGAGTTAAAGCTATTCCAGGGGGGCTATTCTCAACACCTGTCTGTGGTGTCCCCTACGAGCCTCCAGCTCTCACTGTAGAGTCTGCAGAGCTGAGATTGCGTAACAAAGTCCTCACTTCCATAAGGAATCCCAGTCGCTTTCGCCGTCTGTATCGTCTTCATCTCTCAACACATCCCCCTATCACCACTATCATGAAGCTAGCCACGATCACATCAGATGGTAGGATCGGAGTCCTACTCATCACCCACCCTTGATCATGGAGGAGATGTCATCTGATGAGTTTCCGGAGTATACCCAGCACCCGATACGGAGGTTACGGATTGGATCAAGTCGACCTCGACTGTTGCAAAGAAGGGAGCTATTGATGAATATGCGCATCCCATGTGGTCCCGGTGTCTAGGCCTCGCGAGGTTGGGGCTGCAGGTTTTTTGAGACTTTTTCCCGTGCACACAGTCTCCATCGCTACCATTTTGATTGTTTTGGGTAGAAGGTTCGGTGAAAAAGGAGGGCGAACTCCACGGGTAGATACTGAGCTGAATGGCTATTCATGAAGGGGAATATATCAATGATCTTTCAAGTAACAAAAAAGGCAAGGAGCACTGTACAAAGTGTGGCCTGGGCCGGAGGGGGAGCTCAATGTGCTAGACAGTCTAAGAATCCAGCAGTACAACAAATACAACTCTCTCTCTATGGCTAGTCCACTTGAGCACACTTTGTCTAAAGGGTGCTTCGCGCATGGTGCAGTTGCCAGCCTTATAATGTCTTTACAACTATATACTGACGTCATCAATGTGCCCATGTAAGAAACCTGAGATTTCAGTGTCTGATCGGCTTCGACTAACTCCCTACATTTGTTTGCATTTCAACGTGCAGAACAACTGACATCCTCCGCATTATGAAAATTTGAACGCAAGAGGGGTCGAGATGGACCAGGTCGTCACTCGGAAGTGTGAGAGCTTGTTCCCACCTAAATGACCGGAAGGCGTACGTGTTGGATTATGACGTATCCAGCAGCCCAGCGTATCAAAACAAGCCTTCTCCGCGAATCTTTGCATTAGTTAGGTAAAGGCAAGATCCCCTTCCAACATCTTGTATCGGCCATCACCCGCCCAAGAATTGATCTATTCGTATCACCAATCTTTGATGCAACGATCAATAGCTGCGCAATCACCAGCTACTCACCATGCTAACTCCCGAGGTTTATAGATTCTAGCAAATATCAGGGCGTGTAATAGGGGAATTCGACATGGTGTTGTAGCACCGGAAGGCGCCGGTTCCCGCAACAAGATGGATTCCGACCCTATGGTGTCTACGACATCAGATGTGCAATCAAGCGTCTCCACTATTTCGCCGCCACAACGCTCATCCCTCTTACGTAGACTCACCTTTTTCTTTATTAACCATGCACACTGCGACCTACATTGTGCTTTCCATATAACGCCATTAACATCTGCTCTATTCTGCCGACTCAAGCTACTTGGCTGATTGTGACATCGCCACATGAAAACCAATACGCAGGCGAGCGGCTTCGTTTTTCGATCCACTTCCGCCTTCCTCTACCTAGCTGCCATTGTTTGCTCTACTATCATGTTTAGTATCCATGCGTACCTCCTCGCTGCTTTTCGAGTTAGTGGCTTGCCTATCACTAAATATTTGCCTGCAGCAAGTGGTATATCTGGAAGTGCTATTCTGTACGCAGTCGGTGGCCTTATTTCTGGGTACTTTTTCAGCGGTTTGGTCCTACTAGGAGTTTTGGCTATATTGCTCGACGCCACATATATAGGTGCATTTACCTACGTGGCATGGGCCAACCGTCTCGGGTCTGGCCGATGTAGCAAAGAGGGGACGACACTAATCTCTGGGAGTGGAATAGTAGGGAGTCTAGGAAAGAACCAAGCGGATGGCTTGCCAAACACTACAACAGCTTGTAGATTGGAAACAACTTCTCTGGTCATATCCGGGCTTATTAGGTGAGTAGGTGTTGACTACTGCTGGTAGTGCAAGACTTCTCGCACCTCAGCTCAGGCTAAAACTAAGTCGCTGATCGTACTATGATACTAGCGTCATATTTATGCTTCACATTCCTGCAACAATCTTCGCGGTGCGGCACCAGCGGTATTTCGCCAATCCTCAACAGAATCAGAACCATATCCGAAAAAGCTTTTGCAGGTTTTGGAAATATAAAGTCAGCCATACGAAACATGTACCGATAGACAAGATAAATCCCGATGCTCTACCAAAGCATGTAACACCAACTGAAATCTCGGAATTTTATACGGTCCAGGCGGATCCAGAGCCTCCTCTGAAATATTCAGCATCCAAAATGGCGGTGAAAGATGATACTTCGTATGCCGATATCACTCAGGCACCTCGATCATCCTGTCAAGTAGCTCGAATTGCGAATGGTTTAGCTACATCTACTTCGGCTAGATAGGTAAAATGATTCTGGTAGTCGCCGTACAATTACTATTTTCAGAACCAAAAAATCATCCGTGGCCGACTTTTTCTATTTGAACGCCGCGAGGTTTATTTGTGGGCAATATGGTATCTCTGGCAAAGAATCTAAGCATGGCATTGGGTTGGGTCTGGATTACACGGTAGCAGCTTTCTATGTAGAGGGCGTAAGCTGAAATCATAATCTATCCTGGCGAGTCTCTGAAGTAGAGTCTAAATAGCTTGCGACACTATCCTATTAAAGACAAACGATGGATGATACTATTCCAATACGGCCCGACTATATTCTGGAATTAGTAATGCGTTGGATAATAAAGGCGTGCCAGAGTAAGATTTTTGAAATACTCCCTTGATGGATAATCACGGATGAGTGTCTACTTTTCTTTGTATGGAAAAATGGTTTATTGGTAATTGTATACAGAATCCAGCGTCAGTGTCAACAGTCAAAAAGCGCATTAAACATGCGCTTCAAAGTAACAATTATGTGTCAAACCTAGAGAGCTGGATTTACACTATACTCTTGGACAGATATAGAGGAAAGCTCTGCTGGCAAAGACGAATTTTTTACCTTCCAGTGATGCCGGTATAATCGCTCAGTATGCTCTGCATATATGGAATGGCCAAGAAGAATCGCATCAGAATCAAGGTCGAAAGTAACTATAAGTATGTTTATAATCGACGACTTCTCATATAGTCCCATCAACAACATATCCTCTGACTCGATCATTTTGAAACATAACACACCAAGCCTGCCTTGATGGACGGATGCGTGTGAAAATGACTGTGGTGAGTGTGGCAGTGGTTGGCGCAAGTGAGGGTGGAGTTGTAGGAATAGGTTTCTTGATGAATGATATCGGAGGATGCATGAGAAGTGTTGCAAACCGGATGTTTCCATTGCAATTTTACACTTGTTTCCCTAGCTTCTCGAGGATTGGCGATAAAAGTAGTATTGTGTCTTTCGGGAGCAGGACGAAGGCTCTACACTCGGTCTGCGCTGTCAACGAAACTAGGAGTAGAATATTTTCCCAGATCCAAGTTCACTCAGATCTGAAAATACCAAAAATTTTGGCTTAAAATACTGTCTAGGGGTGACATTTCACCTACTCATGTAAACTAAGCTAGACAGGTCACATGACCTTCATAGCAGTACATAGATTTCATCTGTATCTATAGGGTTCTTCAGTCTGGAAATCGTAACCGAGCCCTCCCAACATCATACCGCCCAATTGCTCTTCTATCGTGCCTTGGCAAGGGATTGGAGAGACTTGTGGCGCGTCGTCTTTCATTCTTAGCGCTGAGACATCAGATTCTTTCCCGGGATCAGTGTAGCGCAGTCCCACGGAGATCAGCTACCGATCTCACCACTGTATTGTCTTGCGACATTCAGGACGTCTGGGCCTAAAAACATGTAGCCGGAATGGTTACTGTAGATGTCAAAGGTGCATTTGATGGAATTCAAAAAGGCCGCCTATGTTACTGCCTACGGGGTCAAGGATGGCCCTTCAATGTTGTACAATGGGTGTCTTCTATCATGTCCGAGCGAGAGGCCACAATTACACTGGATGGAACTATATCTTCGGTGTTCAAGATACACTGCGGACTTCCTCAAAGGTCCCCAGCTTCGCCTATCTTATTTCTATTGGCAATTGAAGGTATGCTCCATCTCTCCCCAAAGCGTTTCGGCTATGCAGACGACATTGCAATTATAGCGTCCGCACCGACTCTCGCCCGCTGCGGAGAGTTACTTCAGACGCAGTTATCTATGACCCTCGCCTGGGGACGTGAGAACGGTATTGCCCTTGAAGTCTCGAAAACAGAGCTACAATACTTCCACCGAAAGCACGGATCTCCACTAGAACCTAGTGTATATGCAGATGGAGTTGAGATCACACCGAACGCCCACACTCGCTGGCTTGGGGTCATCTTCGATCGGAGCCTCCGATTTAGAGAACATGTCAGACAAGCATGTGGAAGATCCTTGGCTGTTACAAGCCACATTAAAAGTCTTTCGAGAGTCACCCGAGGAATGAGCCCTCTACTTTTGAGACAAGCGCTCCAAGGTGCAGCTTTCGCGACTTTGCTCTACGGGGCTGAGACATGGTATTCTAAAGGAGCTCCGAAAGGACTGGTCCTTCGGATCCAACAACGGATGAACGATGCTGCTCGCGCAGCACTTCCTGTATTCCGTACTACACCAATAGCTGTTCTTCTTCGGGAAACAGGTTGGGGGCCCGCAAAAGCCTGGCTCGAGCGCATACATGATCACCTCGCCCTACGTACTGCGGCAGCAGATCCTAGACACCCTCTTCGTAGACGGTGGAATTCTTCAAGAATGCGCGGGATCCGAGAAAGGATTTCTCCGGAGCTCTCAGAGGATAACAACCCTCCCCCTTGGGAAGTTGGACGCGATGAATGTCTGGAAAAGATAGGCGCTGTTGGCCGAACAGCGGGAGTCAATTCCTTCACTGAATGGTACGCCCAACAATCCATGATGGACCTCTTTGTTTTCTCCGGCGGCGCTATGATAGAGAATCAAGCAGGAGCCGGATACTCAATTCGACGCGGCGCAACCCATGAGATTGCCTGCGGAACCATTCCTCTAGGCGCTTCTCCAGAAGTATACGACGCAGAAATATCTGGAGTAACAGAGGGTTTAGCAGCTGCCCTCCACAATCCCATGGCCTTTTACGCAACCAACGTAACTATCTGCCTAGATAACCAAGAAGCGGCTCTTCGACTCCTCTTGTTAACACCAACTGCAACAAGCTCTTGCCAAATTGCAAAATTTCGGCAGCTAGCAGCTAGTTGGACAAACAGGAAACGGGCATCCTGTACTAGAGCAGGAGCAGTCAGTGTTAGATTGTGCCCCGGACATTCTGGAATCCCTGCAAATGAAGCAGCTGATGTTCTAGCAAAGTCGGCTTGTCTAATGACTGCGGCACTCCTACCTCTATCCATAGCACGAGCAAAAAGAGAAATTTCTCTATTGTACAACGCTTCCACCACCGCCTACTGGGTTCAGGAAGGCCCCACTAGATACAAGGAACTCGGAATTGGTCCTAGTATAGGAATAACGCCAGAACTGAAAGATTTAAACTGACGTGCACTTGGGGCGTTAATTGCGGTTCGTTCCGGGCACGGAGATTTCGCCCAATATCATCGTCGCTTCGCACACGAAGATGTCCTAATGACTTGCTCCTGTGGCGAGGAAAAAAGCCCAGATCACTTCTTCTACTGCAGTATAGGAAGAAACTGTGCCCGTATTTGCGGTGGACCTCGACACCCCTACCCTGGCATTAGATGGGTACTCGGCTCGCCCGAGGGCGCCCTTGCCTTCGGAAAATGGGTCGAGCTCACGAAGTTCTACGACGAAATCCAAAGAGCCCATTAGATATTCCCTTACGACCTGGTATGGGGTTAATGTTAGATGGAAGGATTTATTCTTATTTTCTTGTTCTGCGGGTATAATTAAAAATTACCAGGTAAAAAAAAAAAGGGAAGTTCCTGGTAGAAAGAAATTTGCTACATTTAAATTGGAAAGCAGAGAGGCGGACAGCTGGTCGGACTCTTTTGTAATTTCTAGGTGTTGAAGTGCGCGCTAGAGCGTCGGGTAGTTCGGTAGGGACTGGGCCGTCCAGTACGTGACAATAGTCACGAGCTGTAGATAGGCACGACGTTAAATTCAATCAAAATCAAAATCAAAATATAGGGTTCTTCAGACGTTAAATAATTATAAAAAAAAATATAGGGTTCTTCAGTCAACATTAACAACGTTATACCGTGTCCCACGTCTCTTTCTTAGGAAATACATGCGTTAAGATAACATTAGAACCTAAATTTAACTGAAAATAAGATCTTTTCTGAACGAGGCTTCCACCAGTCTACAAGTACGGCCTAGTAAATTATGAAATCAATGATCACACCCTTTTTCGGCTCGGTCTCCGGCCTCAATTGGTCTCCAAATATACGCCCATGACAATTCGCATGTCTGTAGGAAGATAAAATTGCCGAGTAAAATTCTTGAAAACAAATCTTTTGGGGTAGATGTGGGAAGAATTTCACTTGATGGAACTTTGTGTGCGCTAGGCCTTCAATTATGTGAGGACAGGCGACATATCGTCGTGGTTTGTTGATGCAGTGGTACATCATCTGGGATGGCCTGCGAAGTAGAGTGTGCATAGCCTGATTACCTTTCCCACTTGAGAGGTTGTAACTGATTCGGAACGAGCAATACTCAATCGGGTCTCTCACAGCACTATTTTGCTTGAGTAATCAAAATTTTGAAACTTTCCTTTGGTGGGTATCTATAGAAGAGTTTCGTCTATTCAGAGTAAACAAACGTACCTTAGTGCTAGTTGCGAGCGAAATCCAGAGTATCAGTGTCTTTGAACTCAAAAGAGTTATGTAACATGAACACACGACTTTGTTCATGTGTCATGGTTAGATAGCTGCAGACACTTCAATGATACAAAAAACGTCTCTAGAGATCACCCATCCGTGTCATGTCCTTTGGATGGGGGTTTGTGCCTGGCACGCTAAAATTATAATATCTTACATAGAAAGGATCCCTCGTCGAATTAATTGAAATTACTACGCTGATGCATAGCCTGCATTTTCAGCACCCAGCTAAGAGTACAGGTCAGAATTCGGTACGTTATCTCTGCTTTATTGTAAATCACGCAGGCTTCCCTAATCCCCAAATTTGATTGCGTGATATTTGCGTAGTTTACAGCGCCTATAATCAGCTTTGTTTTCCCCGATGACCGCGAATCTTACTAGTGACTTCAAAAAATTGGCATGCCTCGGAACAACAGAGAGACCTTTACTCGAACACCTGCCCGTGGCCTTCCAATTTCGACACAAGAAAGTATAGGTTATGCATTGCTGATGCGATAATTACTGAAATATTGCACTGGAGAGCAATAACAATTTCATTAGTCGCGCGGCCTTCCGTGGATGCGTGCTTGGGTGTTTTTGCGCTCTGTAGTGACGTTGGTTGCAAGAGGCATTGTGAAGTAGGGGCTTGATTGCTCCCTTCTCATTCAAAGAGTCGAGTCTCTTACTTGCGCTTGGTAGCTTTTCCCTTTCGTTTGACGCCCGACTTTGCTCCCGGTTTATCTTGCTCTCGCTCGGCCTCTTCTTCTATCCATCGCCGTAGCAGTCCCTCCAATGCTTCATTCCTCCGAGCCATCAAGAGCACGTCCTCCGTTCCCACCACACTTCGCCCAGCGTGTCGGGCAAATGCCTCTACATCGGCTGACACGCTCTCGACCTGTGCCCAAACCATCTCCGTCAGGGCACCGATAAATTGGGGGGTGGCGCTGATTGGCATGTCGTGCTTGCGGCTAAGTTCGAGAGTCTCGGCGCTCACGAGGCTGCCTACTTTGTGCCAGAGGCTTGCCTTGAGGCGCTACGCCCATGGAGTCAGTGACACGAGTGCATGAAGGGAAATTAGGCAGGCTCATGGCAGGCTTCGTACCTCGAGTGTGTCGGCGTCAGCGTCGGCCATGGAAGATGAGAATAAGATGGCGGATGAGGGTCAGCGGCTATCGAGCTGCTCACAATCATATGGGGTGCTGTGCATCCCAACCGACGGAAATTCGACCGTGCAAATTCTGAGCTGTTGATTGGCTCACGTGGTGCGGGGGGAAGATTTAAATGATTCGGCGATGCTGTAGTATGGATATGCATTCACGTATTTTCTAGCCTCGCGCTCTACTCACACATTATTGTCGATTAGTCGTAGCTACGAGACACCTGCGTGAAATCATGTGGATCATGAACCGACCAGCCAGAAGCCATAATGTGCAGGTGGTCGGGCGCCGGGCCCGATTCAATCGCAACCCCTGATCGATGGTTGACTGCGCCGAAATCCTCCTGGCTGCTCCGCTGCGGCTATTAGCCCCTGATTGGAGCTTGCCGTGCAGGGGGGCCGTTGAGCAGCATGGAGGGATTCCTTTATCCAGTTGGGCTTCATCTTACCTCGCTTGGTAGCATGGAGCCATGATTAGCTCTTTGGGTTAGTGTCAAAGAGACTGGCTGATGCAAAATTAAAAAAAAAAGGGTGACTGGCATTCATGTCCACAGATCCGGGTGATTAATCGTTATCACCACTTAGGACCAGTCATTAACGCGAAGAATCCCTATCAACAGAAAACACCAGCCTTCAGAGTTTCCCTACGGATCCATGGGCGACCCCTAGGAATTTACACATCTAAATATCTGGTGAAAATACCTATTGCCAGATTTTCACAAATTCTTACCAACAAGACTCCTACTGGGACGATACCTGATGTACCACCATCCTCTGATGCCAAGAGCCGCACAAAGCTTCAACTATGCTCCATGTCATATTAGATAAAGCTGGCAGGCGATGGACGTCTCGTGGCCCGGCACACATGAACACAGGGATGAAGACCCAACACCTGCCAGCGGTGCCAATGTAATCGCTCAGTATGTGCTATATGCCTAGAATGGTCAAGAAGAGTTGTAATCGAATCGAAGGCAAAAGGAAACACAAGCAAATCTATAATCGACAACTTCACATGTAGTTCCATCATTGATAGATCGTCCGACTCAATCTTACCATAAATCGTCTCACACCAACGACTAATCAAGGAGCTGCTCCAATCGCAAATTAGAGCCTGACTCATCAACAAACTGCCATCTCCCAAGAAATGAAAGAATTGGGAGGAGGCAGAAAGTGAAATTTCCAAGTTACCCACAAGTCTACAGCGTGTAGCTGGCCTATCCCCTCAAACGCTTCCAAAGGGTAGACATATCTTCGGATTTACTTCTTGTAGCGGTATTAGGAGTGCCCTTATTGAGGTGGCTTTTGCAACTTTTACTGGAAGTCATAAACTCGTGAGTGGCCGTCGTTTCATTGGCTGTAGAGGAGAGATGACAAAGGGCAAAAGTCATTCCCTAAGTGTATGATAATACGGAGAATTGTGAGGGTAGTAGGGTTGGGAGTGAGCCGCAAAGAATGCACAGGAGAAGACAAACTACCCGAGGCACAGCTATCGTTGGTCTGTGAGTACAGAAAGTCTAAATACCTTGATTAGTTGTAAGCTGAGAAAGAACAATAATTCTTACCCACTAAGATAAGTGAAGCCACTTCCAAAGCTTAGTAGGTCTATTATTTGTACTCATAGCTCGCCGTTGGATTGGTATTTTATAGTATTTCTTGAGTCGTTGACTATCTAGCTACGACACGAATTCGGAGAACAAGTGTAGAAAATACGACTCAGTTTACAAGAAGAGCACTCATGCCTCGGATTTTATTTGCAAGGACCACTGCGAAGTTATGGTGACTTTTTCTTCACACCAAGTCAACCCTCATCTGTGAATGCATACCGAGGTAAATTTCTCAAAACCCCCGAGTTATCCAGACACGCCTCCATGTCCGTTAACTTTTCTCCGCGCGAAATATGGTCTTGGGTGTTACCTTTCCAAGTGGAATAGGTGCCCAGACTTCTCAAAGTATAGCAGAAAACACCACCAGGAGGCGGACCACGGCACCTTTCATCGTCGGCTCGTTTTTATAGTGTCAGCTACACTCTCGCAATCAAAGTGTGAATTTCCTTGCTAAAATTCGAAATCCCACCCCTCTGATGATTATCCTCATGCTTTGCGTCATCTTATGAACTTATCCTGGTCCCTCTCACGTCCAACCAAAAGAACTATGTCCCAGGTTTGTGCGCAACGATTTTCGTCCTCCTATGGGTATTTGTATTGTCGTGGGTGTGTATTCAGTGACCGGCTGAGGCCTGAGAATAGTTGATGAGAGGTGCGGTCATTGAATTGAGAATAAACTTGGTCGTACTTGCAGACTTGACGAAGCTTCGGTAGGTGACGATCTCGTTGCGGGTGAAAATTTGATAAGGAGTAACTTGAATCAAAGCCTCGTGGGTCAGCTTCTTGAGTATTGCGAGATTTGGTTGGACTTGGCTCTAGGAGGATATTTCACAGTCAGGCTCGTAGAGCGCATACACAAAGTCAGCGCTAAGATATCCCAATGTGCGTCGCCCCATACGGGCGAGCTCAATGGTGATTTTAGTGCTGGGGCCAACATCTAAATCTTTGCATCTAGAAGGTGCATTATCTGCGCAATAGAGTGCTACGGAAGACTCATATTGAGCTTTGACTTCTCTTCTTGCCCTCGCAATAGAGAGTTCTGAGTGTGGAGCTGGAGCCGTATAGGCTGCGTTGGCAAGAGCGTCGGCAACTTCGTTTCCAAGAATACCTGCGTGGCCTGGCCACCATCGAACAGCTACTTGCCCAGACCTCGTATTTTGGCCGCGTGTCCTCCTTCTCCAGTTCACTGCGATCTTGCGGAAGTATGGGATTTTTGACGAGCTAAAAAACGTGGTGTGTGGTTACTACAGATGTCTCATGGTACAACAGTCACGCGGTGTCTCGTGGCTCCTGGCTATAGCATGGATGTGGTAGAGCTTGAGACTAAAAATGCGTGCCCCATTGAAAATGATCTCTCCTACAGTCGAGTACACTCCCAAACTCTCCACCTCCTTTTTCACACTATGCGCCATCTTTGAATACTCTTTGCCTCCTCCCTGCGTTCTGAGACCTGCTCCCGTTCCCCAGCACGACACTCCGTATTAATTAACTCAGCGCAGGACTACTTTGCCTTCGGGCTTAATCAACCGAAATTCTTGGGTCCCACACATATCCGCTCACTTTCTCTATGCGCGCGCTTCCCACTCGATATTCTAGAGTATGTAATTTTAAATAAGATTGATATAGGATACCGTTACTCACGCGATGAGTCCAACTCAATCAAGTCTGATAGGCCCAGAAGAAATGGTGGGATAGATGAAGAGCTCGAATTTACACACGCCGGTGGGCGAAGATCTTAGGGGGACAGACAGCTGAATCTACTTCAAATATTTCTCAAAGTATCTCTGTGCCGGCCAATATAGAGACCGTTAGGATCTCTCCTTTCTTCGTTGGTTATCAAGAGCATCAATTAAATGATCCATGAAATATTTACTATCCGAGTCAGATGAGGAATATTCCTAATCTTGTCTTTAAACAACGAATTTTAGCACGTCGGTAGAGGAACATTCTCAAAACCTGTCTGTGGTGTCCCCTACGAGCCTCCAGCTCTCACTGTAGAGTCTGCAGAGCTGAGATTGCGTAACAAAGTCCTCACTTCCATAAGGAATCCCAGTCGCTTTCGCCGTCTGTATCGTCTTCATCTCTCAACACATCCCCCTATCACCACTATCATGAAGCTAGCCACGATCACATCAGATGGTAGGATCGGAGTCCTACTCATCACCCACCCTTGATCGTGGAGGAGATGTCATCTGATGAGTTTCCGGAGTGTACCCAGCACCCGATACGGAGATTGCGGATTAGATCAAGTCGACCTCGACTGTTGCAAAGAAGGGAGCTATTGATGAATATGCGCATCCCATGTGGTCCCGGTGTCTAGGCCTCGCGAGGTTAGGGCTGCAGGTTTTTTGAGACTTTTTCCCGTGCACACAGTCTCCATCGCTACCATTTTGATTGTTTTGGGTAGAAGGTTCGGTGAAAAAGGAGGGCGAACTCCACGGGTAGATACTGAGCTGTATGGCTATTCATGAAGGGGAATATATCAATGATCTTTCAAGTAACAAAAAAGGCAAGGAGCACTGTACAAAGTGTGGCCTGGGCCAGAGAGGAGCCCAATGTGCTAGATAGTCTGAGGCTCCAGCAGTACAATAAACACAACTCTCTCTCAGCACGTCGGTGAATAATAAAATCTCACATTTGAAGAAAGTTCTGCCTTGCGAACCCATTTATCCTCAGAATATATGTGCTTTAACCTATAATTTTATATATCATAAATATCTGTATATTCGGGATCAATGGCATTTTCATCACAATACTGGAAAGCTCTAATTATTTCCCCTGAAAGTTCGTTATTGAAGGGGTATATAGACACCCTTGGTCTACGCAATAATTAGTGTTAGAGAATGCTCTTATTAAGTGGATATAAAATTCCAAGATCAAATTACTAACTCGACTTATGATCAAGAAAATTGATAGAGAATTGGCCACCCTGCCCTCTGCCCCGAAAAAATTATATACAGATGACATAACTATTGTCATCTCCGTCCGTCATTATTATTACTCCGGATTCGATTATAGGAATGTTGACCAACTCATACCTTTGCCTCAGACTACAGTCATCTTGGTTCACAAGGTGGGTTTTGTTGAAGTATCAGTCACCGATCTTTAGAAGATATGTGCCTTGATTTGTAAGCAGGACTACACTAAGGTCTTTAAAATGCATGGTAAATGTAGAACTTAGTAGTTAGTTTAATAAATATATGAGAAAGCTCAAGGTACTAACCAGCAGTTCAGTTTTCCTACTATATCTACCCTTTGATAGTTTTATTTCATTCCTCATTGAGTGCCTAGGAGTCTATTCTCGTTTACGCTTTTTCCTAGTTTCAGTCGTGTCACGCACACATAAAAATCCGAATCCGGAAACTTTTGAGAAGGTTTGAGCGGGTGATTTGGTATCTGATTGGAGTGGTATCTTAAATCGCCTGAGTCTCTCCCATTGGTTTTTAATTTCTGAAGATTGGACTTCATCAAATTTATAAAGTCCCTCATTTAAGCACTGGATTTTTCCTGTGCTGTCATATTGCTTGAATCTGAAGTCAATCCTGAACTTTCCTTTTTGATGGGCATCCCTGCACAGGAGATAGCCTGGAACACCATGCAAGTTCATCGACGGCTCATAATATTTCAATTTAGGAATGGCCTCGAATGGGAAGCGGTATTTGTATTTAGCTTCAGTTCTGGAAGAGCCTTCTGTAGAAATGTCGAAATCTTCTCTGATACTTTGGAACTCTTCCATGGTATCTACAAACTTTTCAATCTCAGGCACAGAATATCGGATGTAGTCTGATATCAAAGATCCGCTTCTTTTTTCCAATCCAATTTTGGTACGTGGATACCAATTATTGTGTGTAGTTATGGAGCTAGCCCGCAAAAATAAATGTAGATGTCCTTGAAACCAACCCAGGGCTAAATTAGTTAGCTTTCCCATAGGCTCCATAAATAGTGAGTTTCCAGCGAGAAATTGTTCCAGTTTAATAGGTACGTCGGCAGTGATGTAGAGGGTTTGTTTATTTGATGGCGGGACAAAACATGCAAATTCTCCTATTACATTGATTTCTTTTCTGAAGGCTAAATTCGCTAGATATTGATGATTACAAACATCTTCACTGAGCTTGGATATGTAATTGGCTCCAGGATTCAGATTGTAATTCCTTCTAATGAAGTCAAGGCAATTTTTTTCATGTTCACTGTGTTCATTATCAAGAATTTCGGGGTCATGATTTATCTCGACTAAATTTCTGGTAATGACCTGTATAACATCCATATAATCATTGATTATAGAACAATATACTACGGCATGTAGTCCTGGTTTGTAAATTTTACTTGGAGACATGTGTATACCGAGATGAGGCGAGGGTACTGGAAATTCATTATCGTGTGGAGCTGAATATACCCCATAATAAGAACTCTGGGGGCCAGTTCCAGTCACGACCATCCGCTTGATGGTGGTTGAGAGTATCGCATACGCACATTTCATTATATGAAGCTTTTGGACTTTCACCTTCGACCGGTAGAAATCCCACGAGTGGTTGAGTTCCAAAAAGGGAACTTCGTGCTACATTAATAGCGCGTAAAACTGTAATTGTAACGAGAGGCAAGTGTGATTAAAGTGTTGTCCATGGAGAAATTATACCCGATATCAGGGTCGCACTTTGTTTTTCAGGAGCCCAGGAGATATTGACACGAATAAGTAACAGAATTTTAAGTGTGATGGATTCCAGTAGCCAAGGAAGACTTCAAGGACCTAGAATTGAAGTTTAGAGGATCACCAAATCCCACTATCGAAAATATTGAGTCGGCACACAAATCAGCATCATCTAAGCTGCGTCCTCAAGGATCTCGGAAATTTAATCAGTAGATTTGGTATCGTGTGTGCACCAATCACAAGCGGGATTCTTCTAGGTTTTGTAATTTAGTAACCCATATCAGACATAGAATATGTGAGACATGAAGCATCTCTCCATCTACAGGCCAGGGATACTAGCTCTTCGGGTAACATTTCCCATCTTATGCCGTCCTCACGGCCCCCATTCAGTCAAAATACTGTTCAAAAGCCTAAGGGTAAAATTTCGAATCACAGTCACTCGCCTTTCCGTTAAAGGAAACGAAAGCAATTCATGGGTGTATGGCAGACGTGAAATTTGACAAAAACAATCCGGTCCAGTGCTCCTCCACCGAAATTAGGACTTAAATATATTGAGTTCAAGGAATGGCCACACCGTCAATCACGAAGATGTGTTGGCAAGATGAAGGGACTACAACAGGGTACTTCATCTCTGCTTGACTGACAATTACGCGAAGACATACATTTATCTTCTAACCTCTTCCCGAATTTTATCGAGCGCAAAATATCCCGACATTATTTCACGACCACTTTTTAACAAAAACAAGCTCTATATTCTATCCTCTACCTACGTACTAGTAGATAAAGTCTTTATTAGTGGTCTAGATATTCCCACTAAGAAAATTCAAAGACAAAGCTTCCTTCTGAAATGCTTGCAGATTTCTTTGTACATAGGAGAATCGCTCTATAACTCGCAGGACTCTTTTCAATACCTTTCATTATTCGCGCCTTGAGATAATTTTTAGGTCGTGATGAAATGTCAAAAACCATCGACTGGGAGTATTGGCTTACGCCAAGCCCAGACTCCCAAGGCTATCCATGGCTTGGACAGCAATGCATTCAAAGCCAAGAGCATATTCTATGAAAAGAACTGACCTTCCCCTCTTATGATGTCTAGGGTGCAGGGAGTGGCAAAGGCTTATTACCTCCCTCAATCGACACAGGAAATAAAAGGCATGGATAAGGGTTAATAGGTACCGAAACCTGCTGTCACGGTTCGAGGTATAGATGCTGGGGCGATCAAATATACGAAGGTTGTCTATTATTTTCTCTATGGCTATCTATGTACGTCCAACTTCAACTATTTATTCGCTTACTATTCTATCTAGAATATTCTTGACTAATACCAGTTTCTAGTATTTTCCCCTGAGGCTGGTTCGCAGTCTTACTACTAGTTGCTAGAAATTTCTAGTAATGTCCAGATTAATCTATGATAGAATAGTGGTTTCGTAAAGTTGTGAAGCACGTGATTAACATCATGTGCCACAGGGTAATTACCGGCTCACTAGCCGTTACAATTCTCCTCCTCCTCCATGCATTACGTAAATGCGTGTAGCTGATTTCAGTTTGAAAGAAACACTCCAAAGTTGTGGCCCAGATAATTTTGTTAGATTTTGTTTTTTTTTTTTTTTTTTTTTTTCATTTTGCTTTATCCCCGTGGCTGCGGAATCTGTTACTCCGGTTCCGACGTCTGCGAAGGGTCCCTGGTTCGGCTGGTCCAACAAACGCTCCGACACTATCTTCTGGCGGACCGTCATTTGTCGCAATCGGTCCATATTTTGCTTCGAAATCATCAAGGGCTTTGGCTTCCTCGATAAATTCCACCGGCTCCCATGTCGGATTTGCTTCGCTTACCCACTTTACTAGTGCTTGTCGATATTTTCCACGGCCACGACGAACAGTTCTCGCACGTAGAATTGACTCCACCTCGTATTCGGGCTGCTCCAAGTCATCTATTATGGGGGGGTTTTGAGCATCATCTCTAAATTGACTTGGAAATGGATCTGAGCCGGCTCGCTTTACTAATTCCACATGGAATCGTTTATGGATATTTCCCGGCACGTTTAGCTCAACTGTAAGTGCATCAGGGACAGCAGTCACTTCATATTTTGCATGTTGCCATGCTAACTTCTTCGATAGTTGGGGAGTTTTTATATGACGTAGATCCAACCAGACCTTATCTCCAACTCGGAATTTTTCGGGCTGTCGGCGTATTAAGTTTCCATTGGCTTCATAACGTTGCTGCGCAGACGCCATTGCTGCTTGAGCAAAATCTTGGGCGTCCTTTAGTCTTTGTACAAATTTCATTGCTGAGAGCCGACCCGGATGTCTCGACTTTTCACAGGTAGTCGGCGTTGGTTGTGTTACAGGGTCTAAGTCGTAACCATGCTTTAAGAAAAAGGGGCTCATTCCTCCAAGTGATGAATTTGGGCGGGCATTGAGTGCTAGCTGTGCCATTGGCAACAAATCCATCCAGTCATTTTGTGAGTAGCAAGAGAATGATCGTAAGTACTTGTATATTTCCTGGTTAGCCCGCTCACTGGCATTTGACTGAGGGTGATACGCCGTTGTCAGTCGCTGCGAAATCTTTGTTAACTCACAGAATGTCTTCCAAAAATGGCTTACCCAGTCGCTGCCGCGGTCACTAGTTAGGTATCTAGGAAATCCGTGGTAGCGATAGTATCGGTCAACAAACACTTTGGCACATTCTTCTGACGTCATTGAGTTTGTACCAAACATGAAAACTTCCTTCGACAAACGATCAGTTATTACCATAATATTGGTACACCCATTTGACGGGGGCAGATCAGTGACGAAGTCAATCGTAAGTTCACAGCCAACCCTTTCTGGAATTGGTAACGACCGAAGAAACCCAGCTTTTGCTTCCCTCCAAACAGTTGAGCGTCCACAAACGTCACAATTCCGAACAAACCGACGCACCGATTCCCTCATTTTGGGCCAAAACCATCTCCGTAGTAGGATACCTACCATTGTGTCTCTCCCTGGATGTCCTGCAAGATGGCTATCGTGTGTCTGCTGTAAAATAGCTGTTCGAAGTGGCTCGTGATCTGGCACCCAAATTCTATTTTCACGACCTCTCAGCACTCTATCCGCAGCCACTGTACATTCAGCGATATTAGCTCTATACTTTAAGGCGATATCTGGAGGAAAGCATCTTTCACCCGCTTGTACAGCATTTCGAGCTCGCTTCCAGTCGTTATCTATTTCAATACCCTTCGCCCATAGAGCTTGTAGCTCATCGCTCTCAAAAAGAATTGCTTCAGCGGCTGGGTCCATGGTTTGGTTTGTGTTACGGTTAGTTTTTCTGGTATTGACAGGGTGGATAGAAACTGTTGGCAATAACTGTATAACCCTTCCGGCATTTCTTTCATCGTCGAGACCTGTGGGCTTATCTTGTTCTCGCCTTGACAATGCATCCGGTCGCTCGCTAGCAGCTCCTGCTCGCCACTGAATGTTAAAATTAAACTGTTGCAAGGTATCGTTATACCTAGCCTGTCGTTCGTTGAGAAGCTTTTTTGAAGCAAAGTAATTGAGATTTTTATGATCACTAAGTATAGTGAAGGGTTTTGCCACTGATTTTAATTCAGCCTGCCACTCCTTGAGACATTCAATAATTGCAAGCATTTCTTTGTCATGAATAGGGTAATTGTACTCGGCGCCTGACAATCTTCTTGAAAAATATGCAACTGGTCGTAATTTATTCAGATCGTCTAATTGTGATAAGCAACCACCCAGTGCATAGCCAGAACAGTCTGCTTCTAAAACAGTATCACGATCTGGGTCCCATTGAGCTAAGACAGGTGATGTTGCAAAAATTCTCTTTAATTGCTCGAATGCTGAATTTTGTTTCTCACCCCAATTCCATGATGAATTCTTCTTGGTCAAATCTATTAACGGGGCAGCGATGTCAGAAAACTTATTTATAAAACATCGATAAAAGTTAGCAAATCCTAGGAATGATCTAACACCTTTGACGGAGGTAGGCGCCTTCCATTCCAGTATGGCTTTCACTTTGTCCGGGTCTGTCGAAACATTCTCACCTGCCTTGATGATAAATCCAAGATATTTAACTTCCTGACAAAGGAATTCACATTTATCAATATCAAGGTATAGTCCTGCACTTTTGAGTTTCGATAATATGCTTCTGACTACCTTCCAATGTTCCTCCTCACTCCCTGATGTATACGCCAGAACGTCGTCCATGTAGGCTGTGGCATCAATGTCAAGGTGCTCGCGCAATTGCTCATTAATATATCTTTGAAACGTTGCTGGTGCGTTGGAAAGACCGAAGGGTGTTACCATCCACTCGAAGAGACCAAACCGACAGCGGAATGCCGTCATCCATTCACTGCCCTCCTTGATACGTATTCTATGGAAAGCTGATTTTACGTCAAGTTTGGTAAACCATCTTGCTTTAGATAACTGACGTAGCGTTTCTTTGAATAACGGAAGTGGATATCGATCAGGCACCGTTATCGCATTTAGTCCCCTGTAATCTACGCAGAATCTAAGGCCTCCGTTTGGCTTCTTTGCAAAAAGCACCGGTGCCGCTGCTGCTGACTTGCTGGGTCGAATCCAACCCTTTTCCAGGAGGTCGGTCAGGGTTTTCCTCAAAACAAGCAACTCTTCTCTTGACATACTGTAAAGTGGTCCCCATGGTGGTGACAGAGGTTTCCCATTTTCTTTCTTTAACTCTATAGAATGGTCAAGTGCCCCGCGCGAAGATGGTAAGTCTTTTGCCCCTGTGTCATCTGCAAATAAATGAGCAAAATCCTTGACTTGGTCAGGTAGGCGATTCCGCGCTATTTCTAACGAAACACCCGGTTTTCCAC